GTTAGGTTAGGTTAGGTTATCGGGTTTTGTTCAAGTGACCACCCTCTTTCGATCCCCCACTTCCACCCGCTTGAAAATATTTTTTTTATTGAATTTTATTTGAATTATAGTGTGTGAAAATTGTCAAAATAATCAACTTTCAACCCCATAACTTTTTATGGGGTTGAGACCGCCACGAAATTTTTATGGTACAGTGGTGGGGGAGACCTCCTCTTTGGGGGTGGGGGCCATCATCTAGACATTCGCCATTTTTTTAACATTGCAAAATAATTTTATTTAAAATTAAAGGCAATCGCCAATCGATATTCACGTTTGACAAGCATAACATTCCGGGAATGCCAGACGGTCAAACCATAGACTCAGACGGCAACCTGTGGGTTGCTGTTTTCCTCGGATCAAGAGTGATTAAAATTGATCCCAGAAAACCTGAAACCTTGCTAGAAACTATCGCGATACCCGCTATACAAGTAATTACAAAATGTCTATATTAAAAAAAGTTGTCTTACTAAAATACAACATATTTTTAGACAACCTCTGTAGAATTTGGTGGTCCAAACCTTGATGAACTTTATGTTACTAGCGGTCGTTTTACATTCCAGGGTAAAACTCCGGAGCCTCCGGTAAATGGAGCTTTATATCGAGTTACGAATATAGGATCAAAGGGGTTACCATCAAACAAAGTCAAAATTCAAATTTAATCGTGTTAATTAATACGCCACAGGGAAATCTGTATGAATAAAAATGATAACTAGATATCCGTCGATGTACTCGTTTCAGGCAAAAACTACTGAATAGATTTTCATCATTTTTTTTTTAGTTTTTTTTGTTAAGGGTGAGGGAGGGGAAGGGTTGGAACATTTCGTGAAATTTACAATAGCCGCGCATCGATACAGTTCTCATTGCACTGCAGTGCTTTAAAACAAACCCTAATAAAAACTGTTCCATCGCACCTTAGCAGTCTAAGTAGCGTCCCTATAGATTAGAAATCTATTACAATGTAATAATCAAATGTTTTCTATTTTATTTAACTACCAATTAAGAAACAATAAAACTGAGATTATATACGTAATAAAATTGAGCATTTTAAGTGCAATACAAGATTTAGAGTGGAAGTCACTGCAGCGACTTTAAACACTCATCAGTTATTTTGGATTTGCAAGTAGTTTTTGATTGCTTCATTTTGAAAAATGTGTAAGTTCGAATTCTTTCTATAATTTTCTGACGATCAGTGTTCGATGTATCTAATTATTACACAATGTTTTGAAACCGAAAATTGCAGATGATTAATTGCAGAAATTTCGACCTTGTTCAAAATACACTGATCGAAATCCAACGTATCTTAATAATCTAGAGTGCTTTGTAATGAGAAATTATAAGTGCAAGGGTACAAACCACATTTCGATCGTCAAATGTAAACGTATAATTTCTTGTGTGCTGTAATCAAGATCAGTGGGCATTTATCAGCATAAGTATATATTTTTATCAGTAATATCTTTAGTAACAAGCAAAAGCAGATCAAAGAGAACAAAACACCTGAGTGCCAAAAGTGAATAGATAGTTCCAAAAGAAAGTAATTGTATTAATTTTTTTGTCCAGTGAGTACATTTTTTTTAAATTATGTAATTTTGTCAAACACTAACTTTTAATTTTTATTTTATATATTACTAATTGTAACACCGGATAAGAACTACGAATAAATTGCATTAATAATTTTCAAAAAAAATTCGCATTCAAAGTATTTCAATTGCTTCCCAAAAACAACTTTTAATTCTTAAACTCATGTTAAGAAGTTTTAATACACAATGCTATTCATTATGTCCTTTTTTAGTATTATAACATCTTAAATAAAAACAGTGAATAACTGAGTTTTCAGTTAGGACAATAGCTGTATGTGACTACATATTTATAAAATGGCACCANAACTTTTAATTCTTAAACTCATGTTAAGAAGTTTTAATACACAATGCTATTCATTATGTCCTTTTTTAGTATTATAACATCTTAAATAAAAACAGTGAATAACTCTGAGTTTTCAGTTAGGACAATAGCTGTATGTGACTACATATTTATAAAATGGCACCAATAGTTGAAAGAATTCTAGAAAATTTTCTTTTGGGAGAAGGTCCACATTGGGACATAACAACACAAAGTCTGTATTTAGTAGATATTTCCGAAAAAAGTATTCATCGATATGATTCCGTGACTAAAAGTCACCACCACGCTGTTATAGGTAATTTAATATTAACAAAAACATACTTAAGTATTATTATCTATGTATATATTTAATGTTCAGAAACTAACAGTCACGATTTTTAATAAACAAAATTAAATTATTTTCAATCAAAAAGTTTGTTTGGCAAAGAGGTTCTTATCATTACAAAGATGTCCTTTGATAAACTATTGTTTCTAGATAGCAATAACGTTTCGTTTATAATACCAGTGGAGGGAAAACAAAATCATTATATAATCGGCGTAGAAAATGAACTGGCTCTTGTTGTTTGGGACGGAACAAGCAATAAAATAACAAAATTGGAAAGATTGGTTGGAGTTCCGAACAAACAAATCCAATTCAATGACGGCAAAGCCGACCCCACAGGTAGATTATGGGTAGGAACCATGTCCGTAATAAGTCCGAATGGGGATATCCCCGAAAACAAAGGGGCATTCTATTCTTTAGAAAACGGTCAACTTAAACAGCATATAGATGGAGTGCATATTTCTAACGGATTAACGTGGAATCCTAGTCTAAAGAAAATGTACTACATCGATTCTGGTACACGAACCGTAGATGAATTTGATTATGACCAAACAAATGGCACAATTAGTACGTTTATATTAAGGTTTATTAATTTTGTTTAGCATTTTAAAATATTTTTAATATTAAAGGCAATCGCAAACCAATATTTACATTGGAAAAACATAACATTCCGGGGATACCGGATGGTATGACCATTGACTCCGACGGAAATTTGTGGGTTGCTGTTTTCCTCGGTTCAAGAGTGATAAAGATTGACCCAAGAAAACCTGAAACCTTACTAGAAACTATCAAGATTCCCGCTTTACTAGTAATTAGAAAATGTTTATATTTAAAAAAAAGTTGTTTTACTAAAATACAACATATTTTTAGACAACCTCTGTAGAATTTGGTGGTCCAAATCTTGATGAACTTTATGTTACTACTGGTCGTGACACAAGAGTAAATAAAAATCTTCAGCCTCCTGTAGATGGAGCTTTATATCGAGTTACGAATACTGGATCGAAAGGATTACCATCAAACAAAGTCAAACTTTCTGTATAATCGACAAAACTTACGACACAATACTTCAAATACAATAAAAATATAACTTTCCTTTAAAATTCACTTTTTCTCATTCTCATTTTCAACTATTTTGTTCAAATTTTATTCGAGTGAGATTAATTCTTTTACGTAATTTTATTAAATAATTGACTTTTATTTTTACTTTATATATATATGCATTACACATTAATAACTGTAATAACAGCGTGTTGCTCGCGTAACAGAATAAAGACCTAATACAAATATGTTCATAGCCTATGATAAAGACTCATCCTGTATATCTTACGATTTAGAGATTTATTAGACATGCACAGTTACAAAGGTGTATATTCCATTAAACGCACTATATTAACGAATTGCTGATCTAAATATGAATACCTACATAGATTATATTGTATGTACTGTACTGTAGATACCAGTGAAGATCCTTCTCTCATGTTTCTAAAACAATGTGAAGTCCATTTTGTAAAATCAGATTTAAATTTTACCTAGGATCTCACTTTGTCAAAAACTCTTTCAATTTTATACTTCAGAAGAATCAGGCATAACCTAAGGATTAATTAATAAGTGTTATACAAATTATGATCCTTGAATATTGCAGCGGTGTGAATCTCTTTTATTGCGAAAACAAGGTAAACGTACGTACCTATTAACGGCACCTTTAGCACCTTGCGTACCCTGAGCATCATTTTAATTAATTTAGTATCTAATATACCCCAATAACCTTATTGTTGATTTGGGTAATAATAGAGATCATATTAGGTATAAAATATTTATTTTAACTTAAAATAAACCCCCAATATTTACAAAAGTAATTAAATATAAAGTGCCGTGTCTGTATTATCAACATCATAAAATAAGTTCATGTTCTATTTTTCGGCATATACCTATATAATCCTTTTTTTGGCACAGAATCGAAAACCAGAATTTTAGAAAATGTGTAAGTTCGAATTCTTTCTATAATATTTTGGAAATCGCCGAAAATTTTCTTACGATCACTGTTCGATGTATCTAATTATTGTACAATGTTTCGAAATCAAAAATTGTAGATGATTATTTCCAAAAATTTCGATCCTATTCAAAATACCCTGTTCGAAATCCAATGTATCTTAATGATCTAAGTGCTTTGTAATAAGAAATTATAGGTGCAAGGGTACAAACCACATTTCAGGAATTGCGATTGTCAAATGTATACGTACAATTTCTTGAGTACAAAAATATGAAAGTCAGGGAGCATTTATCAGCATAGGTAAATAATTTTATCAGTGATATTTTAGCAACAAACAAAAGCGGATCAAACAGAACAAAACACCTGAATGTTAGTGAATAGGTAGTTCCAAAAGAAAGTAATTGTATTAGTATTGTTTATCCAGTGAGTATATATTTTTTTTTTAATATGTAATTTTGTCAAACACTTACTTTTAATTTTTCTTTTATACAATACTAATTGTAACACCGGGGGTTAATCGGATAAGAACTACGAAAAAATTCGCATTCAAAGTATTACAATTGCTTCCAAAAAAACAACTTTTAATTCTTAAAATCTGAAGTTTTAATATAATGGCTCTGACCTTTCAGTTAGGGCAATCGTAAGCTGGTTGTATGTAACTACATATTTAGAAAATGGCACCAAAAATTGAAAGAATTCTAGAAAATTTTCTTTTGGGGGAAAGTCCGCATTGGGATACAGCAACGCAAAGTCTGTATTTGGTAGATATTTCCGAAAAAAGTATTCATCGATATGATCCTATTACTAATAGTCACCACCACGCTGTTATAGGTACTTTATTATTAACAAAAACTTACTTAAGTATTACTATCTATGTGTATGTATATGTATAATGTTTAGAAACAAACAGTCATGATTATTAACAAATAATAATTGGAAAATTATTTTCAATAAAGAAGTTTGTTTGGCAAACAGGTTATTATCATTACAAAGATGTCCTTTGATAAACTGTTGTTTCTAGATAGCAATAACGTTTCGCTTATAATACCAGTGGAAGGAAAACAAAATAATTATATAATCGGCGTAGAAAATGAACTGGCTCTTATTGTTTGGGACGGAACAAGCAATAAAATAACAAAATTGGAAAAATTGGTTGGAGTTCCGAACAAACAAATCCAAGTCAATGACGGCAAAGCCGACCCCACAGGTAGATTATGGGTAGGAACCATGTCCGTAATAAGTCCGAATGGGGATATCCCCGAAAACAAAGGGGCATTCTATTCTTTAGAAAACGGTCAACTTAAACAGCATATAGATGGAGTGCATATTTCTAACGGATTAACGTGGAATCCTAGTCTAAAGAAAATGTACTACATCGATTCTGGTACACGAACCGTAGATGAATTTGATTATGACCAAGCAAATGGCACAATTAGTACGTGTATTTTAAGGTTTACTGATTTTGTTTAGCATTGCAAAATATTTTTAATATTAAAGGCAATCGCAAACCAATATTCACATTGGAAAAACATAACATTCCGGGGATACCAGACGGTATGACCATTGACACCGACGGAAATTTGTGGGTTGCCGTTTTCCTCGGTTCAAGAGTTATAAAGATTGACCCAACGAAACCTGAAACCTTACTAGAAACAATCGCGTTACCTGCTTTACAAGTAATTACAATTTTTTTTATATAAAAAAATTAATTGTTTTACTAAAATACAACATATTTTTAGATAACCTCTGCAGAATTTGGTGGTCCAAATCTTGATGAACTGTATGTTACTAGCGGTCGTATTACAATCCAGGGTAAAACCCTGGAGCCTCCTATACATGGAGCTTTATATCGAATTACGAATACTGGATCGAAAGGAATACCATCAAACAAAGTCAAACTTTCTGTATAATTGACAAAACTAACGACACAATACAAGTATAATTTTCCTTTAAAATACACTTCCCAGTAAATACATTAATAAATGCTATTAATTGATACCCCACTGCGAAATCTGTATTTAAAAATAAAATAATAACGTAAAAACTACTGTACAGATTTTGATATTTTATTTTATTGTTAGAAGCCATCTATTAATTATGTAAGACTTCAAACGGGAAGGGAAGGGCAAGAAATGGGTTCATAATCGATTTCTTACAATCCGTCTTACGTAAAAAATTTTACAAACCATACATATGGTGACTTGAGACCATGAAAATTCTTTAATTTATTTCACAAGTTTTTTTTAATGTCGCTTACGGTTTATTTCAGTTGCATGATTTTTATTTTGATTTAAAGCTTAATAGATGTACTAAATTTTTGTATTGTGATTTAAAAAGTAAAAAATACTTGTTTGTACTTTGTTACATTACAATAAATAAAAATATTGCAATGTAACAAAAAAGTTTGGTTGACTTTATATGTATTTTATAATCGTTTCATTATAAAATCTATTTACAAAGGATAAACAATTTTGGAAAAAATTTTATATTAATATTTTGCCAATTGTTAGAACCACATTCGACTGTCATTTATTATTTAAGAGAAAAAAAAATTGTGATTTAAAAAATTAATTTCGATTTTACGGAGAATACGAGATAGGTACTATAATTACATAAGATATGGGTTAGAAGGGAGAGAACGTGTAAATACTTACGATTTCATACACATATACGACAAGAACTGTAAGTGTTGTAATTTCTGCACGTGATTATCAGTGTACAATTTGATAATTTTATCGGTGATATTTAAGTAACAAACAAGTGCGGAGCAAAGAGCAATACCTGAAAGTCGAAAGTGAGTATTTAGGCAAAAAATTTAAGTTATTTTGAAGAAAATAATCATTCTCAATTATTTTGTTCAAATTTATTCGAGTGAGTATAATTTTTTTTATGTAGTTTTGTTGAATATTTGACTTCTTGTTTTTACTTTATATAAATACGTTGGTAATTGTAATAACCAGCGTGTTGCTCGCGTAACAGAATAAAGACTAATACAAATATGTTCATAGCCTATGATAAAGACTCATCCTGTATATCTTACGATTTAGAGATTTATTAGACATGCACAGTTACAAAGGTGTATATTCCATTAAACGCACTATATTAACGAATTGCTGATCTAAATATGAATACCTACATAGATTATATTGTATGTACTGTACTGTAGATACCAGTGAAGATCCTTCTCTCATGTTTCTAAAACAATGTGAAGTCCATTTTGTAAAATCAGATTTAAATTTTACCTAGAATCTCACTTTGTCACAAGCTCTTCCAATTTTATTCTTCAAAAGAATCGGGCGTTACCTAAGGGTTAATTAATAAGTGTTATAGAAATTATGATCTTCAAATATTGCAGCGGTGTGAATCTCTTTTATTGAGAAAACAAGGTAAACGTACGTACCTATTAACGGCACCTTTAGCACCTTGCGTACCCTGAGCATCATTTTAAATAATTTAGTAACCAATATACCCCAATAACCTTATTGTTGCTTTCGATAATAAAAGAGATCATATTAAGTATAAATATCTAATCACTACTGAAATATGTTAAAAGTCATTTAATTAATATTAAACTAAAAAATAGTCAGTTTCTTCCGTATCATCTTTTGTTACCAAAACAAGTCTCATAATGGTATTTCAGACAGGAACAACAAGGGCACATGTCCAGCTTGTCAGTGTCGCACAATGTGCAATACCAAGATTCTTCCAAAAGTTTTGATGCTGAAGATTCATTAGTGGTTAAAAGATCAATGGCTGTTACATTTTCTTCTATGGAAAACATATTCTTCGTAACATTCTATAGCTTAGTCGCCGCCCTTTTAAATTCTTTTAGTAAACTTGTGTGGAACTACAATTTTTGCCTTTTCTTTTCATTTTCCACTTCCTTCTTTAGGGCACACTTATTCTTTCTTTGTAGTTTTAGATCTTTTTCTTGCGTTTTCTTTTCTTTTTTTTATATCATTGTTGCCACTGAGAGAACATTGCAACTGCAAATACTTTATCCTTCATTAGCTTACGCTTAGCAATACTTTCTTTAGCTGTAGGCCAAAATTGTTTTTTTGCTGTTAAATAAATACAAACAGATACTGGAAAATTCGTTACGTTTACAATTTACCATTTCATCGCCCTTTTTGACTAAAACTTTGTCTCTCTTGGTGGTAAGGAAGAATGCCTTTTTGGTGGCCATTAAATGCACGACTGAAACCAAATGTTACGTTACGATTGTTTGTGTTTTCTAATAAAGTCCCTACTTCTATAAAACACTGCCGAATGTGATTTTTTATTAAGCTGTTGAAGTGAAGTTCTGGGAAATCCTTGCAGCCAGTTTTTGGTGTCTTTTCTTTAAAAATAATTCGTATCATTTCCGTCCGGATCTGCTGTTTGTGAAAATCATTAGGCCTATCCAGTTCTTTAACCGATATATATCTAACAGCTATCGATAACTATCTAACAACTTCGTTTTTGTTACAGGAAATCCACAGGCTGCAATCCAAAATAGCCATGTCACCTGTAAATTTTCTTCTTCCCTTGTTAGTATGTTCTCTGGTCCCCATTTCTTCTCTAAAGGTGTTCTAACTTTTACTTTTTCCCGTAGGGTCGATTTGGGTGCATGATATAACTTGCTGGCTGCTTTAAATGGTATTAAGAACTAAACAACGTTAACAGCTTTATTTATATCTTCGAGAGAATAACGAATTCGGTTTTTCTTATCCATTTTAATCGCATGTATTAGCGGCAGTATTGTTAAAGGCTAAAATAGGGATAGTTTTAGTAATCTTGCTTTATATTGCATGTAATACCTAGAAGTTATACATAGAACTTAAGTATTACAATTACTCAAATATAACAATAAAATTAGGAATCTTTCACTTACGAATAGAGTAGTGGCGTAATTACGTTCAATATACTTTGTTCTAAGGGGAAATGCAAAATATATGGGAGAGAGAAATAAATTTATTCCAAACGTAAACTTACAATCACATGAAATTAATTATAATGTATTCAGTCAGAACACTGGTTAGACACGTACCTCCACTTCTTCCTATTTTCAACCTGTCTTCGCATTCCTCAAAAACTCGAGCAGCCTACAAACCTACATCTTCAACTATTTGCGAACAGTAACCTAGTCTATCTTTACCTCTTTTAACTCCTGTTTCTGCTACTAATACGTCTCTAACTAGCCCTTAATGTCTTAAAAGGTGTCCTACCAACCTATCTTCCCTATTTCTTATTGATTTTGATAGCACCTTCTATTCTCCTACCTGCTTTTCCTCATCTTTTTTGCTTCGTCATTTTCAATAAAAATTATAACTAGGGAACTGAGTCTTTCTTGTCCAATAGTTTTCCATAGGTAACTTTGCACTTCAAGAAAGGCCTTTCGGCTTTCACAACAGTAACTGAATTGGTCAGAAAGAGATAGGAAGCTGTGACAATTTTAGAAATACTACTACTCGGGAAGTAGTTTCTTGTAAAAATGAAATCCAAAAATTCCCTAAAGAAATTCATCATTTCCAAATAATTTTTGGAGCACTCTTTGAAAGCCAGTAGTTACCTAAAACACTATCCTCATATTTTGTTTAAAACTCTTGGTGTATAGAGAAAATTTCATTGTTAAATTTTTCAAAAAAAGAGGAAAAACTTAAAGCCCTGCACAATATTTCTCATACCGGTAGTGCGTTCATGTAAGATTGACTTCTTTACTTTCAATGTAATAATGTTTACTCGATTAGTCAAAATATTTTAGAACGACTCTTTCTGTTTCGAAAAAAGGGTATTGAAGAATTATGATTATTTGCCAGATTAACAGAAATGCTTTTAAAACTTACGAAGTCTCCATAGCCTTAGAGCCCCCTACCTTAGAACGCATTGAACACTGAACTGGATTACATTATAAACATATTTAATCATAAAATAGCATGCTGGGTACCTGCATTTATTTTCATACACACATCCAGCTTCACAAAAGAAAATCATAATTACTTTCATGATGTTCTGTGGGCCCATTATTTACATGCATTTTCAAACTAGTTTAGTTACATTGTCATAGCATATTGAATTAAATGTAATAAGCAAAATATCGATTTATTTTACTTCTTATTATTCGCTTTCAAAATATTTACCTTTGCTTTCCAAAAACAGCTCTTAATTCTTAAACTTCAATTAGAAAATTTTAGTGCTACTTGCTATTCCTGTTTTCGTTTAACTCCTTAAATAAAAATAATAAACGGCTTCAAGCTTTCACTTAGGCAGGCTAAGCTGGTTGTAAGTTTTACTACACATTCCTTATATTAGAAAATGGCACCAAAAGTTGAAAGAGTTCTTGAAAATTTTATTGTCGGGGAAGCACCGCATTGGGACGTAGCAACACAAAACCTATATTTCATAGATTGTCCTGGAAAAAGTATTAATCGGTATGATCCTGTAACTAAAAGTCACCACCAAGCCGTCACAGGTAATTTATTACTTATTAATAAAACATGGTTATCTATTTTGCCTGTATAACCTTTACAAACAGTCATTATTATTAATCAATAATTGGAAAAGGAGATTCAAAAATTTTGTTTTTGGCAACAGGTTTTATTATTATTTATTAGAAAGACATATTTGTCGTTTGATAAACTGCTGTTTTTAGATGGCAATCGCGTTGCATTTTTCATACCAGTAGAGGGAAAACAGAACGATTATATAATCGGCATAGATAATGAACTTGTTCACATTGTTTGGGATGGAACAAGCAATAAAATAGAAAAGTGGGAAAAACTAGTAGAAGTTCCGGACAAGCAAGTCCAATTCAATGACGGCAAAGCTGACCCCGCTGGTAGACTATGGACAGGAACCATGGCCGTAATAACTCCAAGCGGGGATGTCCCGCCAAACAAAGGGGCATTTTATTCTTTAGAAAACGGCCAACTTAAACAACATATAGGTGAAGTGCATATTTCTAACGGATTAGCGTGGAATTCCGATCTAAAAAAAATGTACTACATCGATTCTGGTAGACGAACTGTCGATGAATTTGATTATGACCAAGAAAATGGCACAATCAGTACGTTTATATTAAGGTTTATTAATTTTGTTTAACATTTTAAAATATTTCTAATATTAAAGGCAATCGCAAACCAATATTCACATTGGAAAAACATAACATTCCGGGGATACCAGACGGTATGACCATTGACTCCGACGGAAATTTGTGGGTTGCCGTTTTCCTCGGTTCAAGAGTTATAAAGATTGACCCAAGAAAACCTGAAACCTTACTAGATACTGTCACGTTACCCGCTTTACAAGTACCTAACTAATTAATTTATAAGAATTTTTGTCAACAAAAGACATTTAATTGTTTTACTTGAATACAACATATTTTTAGGTAACGTCTGCAGCATTCGGTGGTCCAAATCTTGATGAACTTTATGTTACTACTGGTCGTGACACAAGAATGAGTAAACATCTGCAGCCTCCTGTAGATGGAGCTTTATATCGCGTTACGAACACTGGATCAAAGGGATTACCATCAAACAAAGTTAAAATTTCTGTATAGTAAGCAAAACTAATGACACAACTCATTAGAAACAATAAAGGTATAAATTTCCTATTACTACTTGAGTGTTTCTAATAAATACTAAATTTCATCGTGTTAATCAATACCCCACGACAAAATCTATGTACATATATGCTTTAAGCAAAATGATACTTACAATTAGCTGTGCGCATCACGCAAAAACTTCTGGATAGATAGGTTTTGAAAATTTTTTTAGTTTTATTCATTGGGCGCTTGTTCTTTATCTCCATTGAACATTATCAATATATTATTATTTAGTATGAGAGCGGATGAATGACTCAATCCACATATGCGTGAATGGGAAGTTTCTACTTCCGCCTCAACAAAATAAAGTAAGCGATAACATACATTCAAAAAGTGAATACTCCCCTCAAAATTCAATAAAAAGTAGTCAGGTAGGATAATACGAACCTATAGATAAGATAAGAAGGAATATCACCTTTTGAAATTGATAAAATTTTATTATATTTTAAATTAAATTTTGTTTTTATAAAAAATCTCACCTACATATATAGTTCAAGTAATCGTAAGTTTTAATTTTTAAATAGAAAGTTTATCAAACCCCTCTTCAAGGATAAATCCTGTGAGGACCCTAGGACTAAAAAATTATATTAAAGTTAAATACAGTTACATCTTACATTTAAAAAATATTATGTAAACATTAAAACAAAAGAAAACTTTTCAAAAAATAACCTGCTCGTTAATTTGCGTTACAAGCTTCGTGACTCATCAGGGGGGAAAATGATCTTATTAGGGGGGCAGTGCCCCCATTGCCTATACCTATCTACGCCCATGCGGCCAGTGTCCCAGTATTGAGATAGTAAGGGTTCTACTGAACTACAATATAAGAATTTGAAAGCGCTCATGTATTATATGAGTAAAATTAAATTGTTTCTAGACTTGGGAATCAGTACCTCCCGTCACCCTTGTTGAGAACCTCTCTAAACTACGATATCAATCTACAATGATATAAATAACCGATTTTTAGATAAATAATTCTCTACACTTACGTTAGTTTCTGTATTAATTAATAAATTAATTTATTAAAAGCACTAAGGATTGGCTACAATATTATTTGTATTCTATGATATGGAGTGTAAGATTTTAAATTTATAATAATCTCCTTACTTCCTCTGTTAGCAAAAGTAAGAAAAAGTTGAAATTTCTAACAAATTCTTATGCTGTTTTTAGTAAACAGTTTAAAACAAACAGTAATAAAGTATTATGTTAAAGGTCAAAATCGCTATGTAAAACAACTTTCCTTAATTACTTTTTCTGCCTAATTAAATTTAAATCAATAATTAATATTCGTTTTTCTAAAATAAAAAATGAGCGTCTATTTCGACGTATTTCCTTAAAATTTCTTCATAAAATCCGTTAATTTTTCTTTAATATTAGATATTTNTTGAACCAGTTGATGTACTGGCGTAAAAGTTAAATTTACAGGCAAATTTATTACAGCATAGGTTCTGTGTAACTTGTTTAAAGTATTTGTTATCATTAAACCATTTTTTCCAACCAGAAAACCTGCTGGAATGTGTGTTTCATCTAATGTTTCATCATCAATCATTTCTATCAAATATTCCTCTGAACCTTTCGCCAAGTCTGTTATTATGGCAGCTCTGGCACCTGCTTTTTCTGCCATGATTGTTTTCCTTTTAAAGGAACAACTCCTACAATTTTCCTTTTAATTTCATACAAGTATTTTGAAAGAAATGAGATATTACCCCCTTTCAATTAAGACTACATTTCTTTCCACATCATCAATGTTTTCTAATTCATCACAAGCATCAATTGGTTTGGCAGGCACTAAAAGGGTGTTCTTCAATTGGAATGATTCATTCTACAAAAAGAGATACAATTAGGTCCAAATAGTATAAAAATTGGAAGACATACAAAAGTAGGCCCAAAATCTTTTGCAGGCCTTAGTCTATATGTATATTCCAATTCTAAGGGATCTATTATCTCAAAAAATATATCGCCCCCAACAATTTCAGCCATTGTCGCTCCATCTTGCAAGTGCAAGTCGTTTGCTGTAAAACAAAAATGTGCAGTACAGTATTACACTTTATCAAATCACTTTTAAGACCAAGTGATTTGTTAACACAGCTTAAAAGATTGCTAAGTGTATAATATATTCTCACTGATAAACTAAATTAGGATCGTAATAAAATTGAGAAAATCTCTTAACGAGAGTTAAGATAAATATTCTAGAAACTTACGTCCTGCTGATGAAAATTTAATAAAACTCAAGAAAACTAGCACGTTCATGGCCAAACGCTCAATATATTCATCTTTGTTTGAATACATAATTAAGAGGTATTATATACTTTAATTAATTACTTAATTACTAGATAAAGATTGGTGTAGCGATCTTTAAAAAAAACAATTACGATTTACGCAACTACGTCTACGCCACTGCCACTAAAACCATCCATTAAAAAACCGATTAATTGTAAATTAAAATATAAACAAGCCAGAAAATGGCTGTTAATAATACAGTGCAAAACAAGGTCGAAGGTTCTCTGTTTATCTGGTATTATGTACAGTACATTTTAAATGTATATAACTCGATTGTAATTATTTTGCTAAATACGAATGTCACAGTGTCCTGAGAACAAACGTTAGTTTCAAAAGCCTAGTTTGTCCGGCTAATAATTAATATAAAAATTTAAAGTCGGGTAGGTAAGTACTTATAAACATATTTAGTTTTTTATGTTTTATACGCAGGCACTTGAATATAAGTATTCCCTGAGTTAGCAGTTACTTTTAGAAATATTTTTTTAATTAATTGCCACTAATTTCTAGACATGCATTTGTCGAAATTGTAATTAAAAATTAAAATAAATGAAAGATGCAACAGCATTCATCTATAACATTACTGATATATTTTAAAATAGTACAAGTGTTTTGTCTGCAAATTATTTAATAATTACATAAGCATTGTGTACTTGCATTTATTTTGATAAATGTAACTACAACAAACACTACATGTACTACGTGGATGAAAACATTATCGACTTTCATCATGGAAAATTCTCAGATGTGTACAGTCATGCTCAAAAAAATTAACCAAATTTTTCAAAGTGCTTCTGTGTGCACATTTATATATACCTACACGTTTTCTAAGCTATTTTAATACAATATTATAATATATGCATCTTATTGAATGCAATTACAGTTATCTTGGAAAAATTTTCTGGTACCATATGTTATTCATTATTGCCTTTTTTCAGTATCATAATTGATATAACATTTTTTTTGTTAACTTCTCAAATAGAATTATAAATAAGTGCGTAATAGTAATATACCTAAATTTTTTAGAAAATGGCACCAAAAGTTGACAGAATTCTAGAAAATTTTGTTTTGGGAGAAGGTCCACATTGGGACATAACAACACAAAGTCTGTATTTGGTAGATATTTTCGAAAACAGTATTCACCGATATGATCCTGTTACAAATAGTCACCACAAAGCTGTTATAGGTATATTGTTAATAAAAGCAATTAACTATTATTATCTATATAATAACGTTTAGAATCAGTCAGGATTATTAATGAATAATTGAGAAAGGATTTTCAATAAAACAATTTTTTTTGGCAAACAGGTTCTTATCATTGGAGAGATGTATTTGCCCTTTGATAAACTTTTGTTTTCAGATGGCAACAGCGTTTCGCTTATCATACCCGTGGAGGGAAAACAGAATTATTATGTAATTAGTATAGGTAATGAACTTGTTCTTATTGTTTGGGATGGAACAAGCAATAAAGTAACAAAATTGGAAAAATTGGTCGGAGTTCCGGACAACCAAGTCCGTTTCAATGACGGCAAAGCTGACCCCACGGGTAGATTATGGGCGGGAACCATGGCCATAGAAACTCCGAACGGGGATATCCCGTCAAACAAAGGGTCATTCTATTCTTTTGAAAAAGCTCAACTTAAGAAACACATAGATGAAGTGCACATTTCTAACGGATTATCATGGAATCCCAGTTTAAAAAAAATGTACTACATAGATTCTGGTAGACGAACTGTCGATCAATTTGATTACGACCAACAAAATGGCACAATCAGTACGTTTATATTACGATTATCAATTTTGTTTAGCATTACTGAATATTTTTAAAATTAAAGGCAATCGCCAAACAATATTCACGTTTGGCAAGCATAACATTCCGGGTTTCCCAGATGGTCAAACCATTGACTCTGACGGCAATTTGTGGGTTGCTGTGTTCCTCGGTTCAAGGGTTATTAAAATTGACCCCAGAAAACCTGAAACCTTGCTAGAAACTATCGAGATTCCCGCTTTACAAGTAATAAATTTATAAAATGTTTATTAAAAAAAGCATTTAATTATTGTACTAAAATGTAGCATATTTTTAGGTAACGTCTGTAGCATTCGGTGGTCTAAATCTTGATGAACTTTATGTTACCACCGCTCGTGTTACACAACAGGGCAGAACTTTAGAACCTCCTGTACATGGAGGCTTATATCGAGTTACTAATACTGGATCAAAAGGGTTACCATCAAACAAAGTTAAACTTTCTATATAATCATCAACTAACGACACAACTTTTTAACTTTAGAAACAATAAAAACAATTTTCTTTTTAATACGCTTAATTGTTTCTTATAAATATCAGCATTAATCGTGTTAATTAATGCCCTATAGCGTAATTTCAATATGAAATTAAAATAATTTTAAACAGCTGGCTATTTCAAAACGACGGAATACGTAAAAGAACAACGTCCTGACAATCAAATGGTACAACATATAGTGTATTTTTATTGCATATTTGATTATCTCAAAGGAGACTACTGACAAATCTAATATGAAATGACCTGTAGGTGTGTAAGTACCACCTCTATACATTTTAAAATTGTGATTCCATAGAATGATGGGAACGTGATTAAAATGGTTTAAAATCTAAAAAACCTATTTTATGTACTATTTTTTTTCTAATCAAACACATATTGAAGTTACAAAAGTTACAATCTCTTACTGTTTTCATTATGAGAACAGTGAGGTTTTTGTAATTTATTGACTTCAATGGGATGTGTGGGATAGCCAAATTTACAGTAACATCCTACGCATTGCAAAGCAATTAGAATCGTCATTCCCTTTTCAAACGTCATCGCACTATATAAACTTATTATATATTTTTGAAAATTATTTAGTCTGCATGGAAATTAGATATTCTTTTGCAACAACTTACAATTAGTTGATAAAAAAAATGCATAAGTATGTAACAATTACTTTATTGCATTCAACATATGTAGATGCCTTGTTGACAAACTTTGAGCCTTTATATGACTAGATAGAGGGTAGTTGTATAAGAAATACTTTCTTTATCTTACAAAAATATTGCTTTAGTTAACAAGTTATTGCCAAAATACTGTTATAGGTTTTTTACCATCCTATCCAAGGTGGTTGAACCAGTTGATGTACTGGCGTAAAAGTTAAATTTACAGGCAAATTTATTACAGCATAGGTTCTGTGTAACTTGTTTAAAGTATTTGTTATCATTAAACCATTTTTTCCAACCAGAAAACCTGCTGGAATGTGTGTTTCATCTAATGTTTCATCATCAATCATTTCTATCAAATATTCCTCTGAACCTTTCGCCAAGTCTGTTATTATGGCAGCTCTGGCACCTGCTTTTTCTGCCATGATTGTTTTCCTTTTAAAGGAACAACTCCTACAATTTTCCTTTTAATTTCATACAAGTATTTTGAAAGAAATGAGATATTACCCCCTTTCAATTAAGACTACATTTCTTTCCACATCATCAATGTTTTCTAATTCATCACAAGCATCAATTGGTTTGGCAGGCACTAAAAGGGTGTTCTTCAATTGGAATGATTCATTCTACAAAAAGAGATACAATTAGGTCCAAATAGTATAAAAATTGGAAGACATACAAAAGTAGGCCCAAAATCTTTTGCAGGCCTTAGTCTATATGTATATTCCAATTCTAAGGGATCTATTATCTCAAAAAATATATCGCCCCCAACAATTTCAGCCATTGTCGCTCCATCTTGCAAGTGCAAGTCGTTTGCTGTAAAACAAAAATGTGCAGTACAGTATTACACTTTATCAAATCACTTTTAAGACCAAGTGATTTGTTAACACAGCTTAAAAGATTGCTAAGTGTATAATATATTCTCACTGATAAACTAAATTAGGATCGTAATAAAATTGAGAAAATCTCTTAACGAGAGTTAAGATAAATATTCTAGAAACTTACGTCCTGCTGATGAAAATTTAATAAAACTCAAGAAAACTAGCACGTTCATGGCCAAACGCTCAATATATTCATCTTTGTTTGAATACATAATTAAGGGGTATTATAAATTGTAAATTATACATACATAATTAAATTAAACAAAGGACTACAATCGCCTCATAGATAAAACCGCCTCTTCACATTTAGTTTGTTCAAATAGTCACAAGCATGTCAATTGATAGGTATGTCAATATGTCATATGCTCATATATTATTGATAATTTATTAAATACCAGCACGTAATACTATCAGATGATAATCGTGATAATAGATCATATTGATGTTGTGTCTATATAAAGATATAATCCACGTCCTTTTTCCTTAATTAAGTTACAGCTGATTACATTCATAATAAACATTTTGATGTGCAATTAGCTGCAGTGCTCAACAGGAATGATATCCAACGTTGCTTATGTAGTATAATTTTTGAATTTCAAAATATTTAATATCAAAGACAGAATCATTACTATATCTTAATAATGAGACCTTTAACTTAATAAAATTAAGTAATCCTGCAATAATAAAATCAATAAAATATAACAAACTTTTTATACAATGTTTAAAACACCCCTATTTTCTCATATAAGTTTTTCATAATTGCACCATTTCTGAGAAAAATGAAAATTCTGCCACAATTATAAGGAAATAATGATGTGTTTTATCGAAGAACTTTGTTTGAGCTAGTCATCGGATAAGTTAAAATAAATAAAAAGTATTTTTTAATGGTGAATGTACATTTATATTTATTTCTAACCAGTTCAAATATTTCAAACACTTTTGATATATCTGACAACGCTGTACGTTAGATTTCACAACAAACTTCTTTTTGTTCTTATCTATTGTTATTGTTGATTTAAACTTAACCTACAATTTATATGAAAAAAGACTGATATTTAAAAGTTTTAAATGTGATTAATGTGTTTTTATTTTAATTAGTTAATATGAAACAAGATGCCAAAGTGTTCCTTATATTGATATTTATTCGGTTGTTATCTGTGTATATTGTTAAAACATGGTTTGTACCTGATGAGTATTGGCAATCTTTAGAAGTTGCTCATAGATTGGTTTTTAATTACGGTTATTTAACTTGGGAATGGACTCTAGGCATAAGGAGCTACGTCTATCCTTTACTAATTGCTATACTTTATAAAATCCTTCAAGTTTTGAGTGTGGACTTCCCTACTGCCATTGTAGGTATCATTTTATAAACAACATTAGTCTCTTTTTGATACAGTAAATTTAGGTAATGGGCCCACGAATATTGCAAGCTGTATTAAGTGCATATTCAGATCTTTGTTTATATAGATGGACTAATAGAAAAAATTGGGCTTTATTTTTGATTGTATTTTCTTGGTTCTGGTTTTATTGTGCTTCCAGAACCTTAATTAATACATTTGAAACATGTTTAACTACAATTGCACTGACATTATTTCCTTGGGATGAGAAAAACCGTGGTAATTACCATGGAGAAATAACGAAACCCAATTGTTCAGTCCCAGGTGTGTATTTTAATGGGGGTCTAGGCAAATAATCTCCCGCATATGTACAAGATAGCTATAAGGCCTTTTATCTCCCACATTTGTACAAGATAGATATAAGGAAATGTGATACTTTGTTTTTCTCTGATTCTAATTTTCAATGATAAATATTCCCAAAATTATTCAATAGCAAAAGGAAATGTTATTCGATTTTTTTAATTAAGAAAATTATGTGTTTAATTTTGACTGTTTAACTTCTTCTGAAAATTTAAGTGGGACGCCGTTTGAGCGTTTTGTGGATTATTAAGTTGTGTTAGGTAATAGTAAACTAGATAATGTTACACATTTTTAACTTCTCCATTTTAAATTTGAAGAGTAATTCTATCTTAGTCTGATATATAATCTAAAAATTACCTAAAATTCTTAATATTCCAATAGAAAAATATAAAAAATTGCCTTTAATAGCTATTTTTCTTTGTTTGCTTTTAAGGAAATTACAAATTTGTATTTCTTGTTGGAATACTTTGTGTTGTCAGACCTACTGCAGCTATCCAGTGGTTTCCATTGTGTGTTTATCACCTTTATTTATCAAAAGAAAGTGCTTTCTTCATTATTTGGAAGCAGTACATCCCAATTGGGTATGCATTTCTCCACAATTTGATATGAAATTTTAAGAAAACTTTTTTCAAGATCTTTGGTCCTACTTTTATCAATAGCAATTGATAGTGTTTTACATGGTTCTTTTATAATAACAAGCTTTGAATTTTTAAAATTTAATATCATAAAAGACATTGCAACTTTTTATGGAGTTCACCCTTGGTATTGGTACTTATCATCAGGACTTCCCACTTTATTGGGCATTCAAATTTTTCCTTTTATACTTGCAGTAGTTCATATACTAAGAAATAGATATATTTATCCTAAAGAACTTATACTTTTGGCTTGTATTGTCTTTACTGTAGGTGTTTACAGGTAATTGAAGAAATTGAAATTAACTTTTTTAATTACAATTCTCTTTATTTTAGTATTTTACCCCACAAAGAGTTTAGGTTTATATTACCACTTTTACCGATAATGCTTTATATAAACTCTAACTACTTATCACAATGGAGCCGTAAAAAAGATAAGTAGGTGTTTGTTTTCTAATTCATTTCACATACATATGATGACCTCTAATTTTAGAAAAGTTATTTGGTTGGTAGTAGGAACCATTTTCGTCAGCAATTTAATACCAGCTTTATATTTAAGCTGTGTCCATCAAAGTGGGACAATAGATGTGATGCTCCCTTTAAGAAATTTAGCTTTAAAAAATCCAAAAACTTCCAATTTTTTATTCCTAATGCCTTGCCATTCAACTCCTTTATATAGGTAACTCGGGAAAAAAATTTAACAAAGTGATTTTATTTTTTCTAATATTTCAGTCATTTACATGTAAATGTCTCAACAAGGTTCTTAACATGTGAACCGAATTTAAAGAAATCGGTTACTTATATTGATGAAACCGAAAATTTTTATAAAAACCCGAATAAATGGCTAAGGGATGAATACCCTCCAAAAGGACCTCTTCCATCACATATTGTAGCTTTCGATGTTTTAGTACCATTTATTAAAGATATTTTAAGCAGGTAATGTTTAAAAAATAAATAATTTACATATAGACTTTCTAACCATATTTTCAGATACAATTTAATTTATAAAATTTTCCATACTCATGTTCCTATAGAAGAAAAAATTGGGACCTACGTAATGATTTACGAACTTATAAATTTTTAGTAAAACTCCTTCTAATTTAGAATACATAAAAGAAACATATTTCTGTACAGTATTAAAATAAAAAGAAAATGTAACAAGTGCCATTTTAATTAATTATGTAATCCCATTTTAATTGTATTTTTTACACTTCAAATTGTAACGGCCAAACGCAACAAGTTTTATTACAAACACCGAAATAGGAAAAAGTGTGCCTATTCTTTGATTGGGGCCCATTGTTGCTTTAAATGATAAAAACATATACAGATTGAAATTAAAGTTTATCCGACTTTAGGCTTTGATGTTAGGAGAGTAAAGTAAAGTTGTTGTTTGGTAGACGTACCGCTTACATTTGGAAGAAGACCTTGATAATAAGTGCCAGGTAAAGGACGTTTATCCTGCCATCCCTGGCCGTCTAAGAGTATTTGTGGTATTTGACCTTTGTTGGTCCACCCACTTATTGGCTGTCCTTTATCGGACCAGCCATTTGATGGTTGTCCTTTATTAGACCACCCATTCGGCGGTTGTCCTTTATCGGACCATCCTGCGGATGGTAAGCTATTACCAGTCCATCCTGGCGCCAGTTGTCCATTTCCAGGTATTATTGGAAGCTGTCCATTATCTGGTAGTAACCCTTTTGGTTGTCCGTTAGCAGGCAATGGTATCGGAAGTTGTCCATTGCTTGGTAAAGCTATTGAAGGTTGTCCATTACCAGGTAATGGTATTGGGGATTCTCCATTACCAGACGAACCTAAAGGAGGTTGTCCATTACCATTTAAACCTAATGGGTATTGCCCATATCCAGGCGACCCTCCTGGGTACAGTCTATTACCGTAAAGGCCTGGAAAAGCATTTCCTTTGCTAGACCCTACGCCTGGATATCCTATACCGTATAACGGATGACCATAGGGCACTCTACCCGCAATACTCCAACCGTTATTATTAACACCTTGTGGATATAGAGGAAGATAATTGTTGTCAATCCTAGGCTGGCACGGAGTTCCGTGTATTAATCTGTCTATTGGGGCAAAAAAGACTCTAAAATTGACATCAGAATAATTGAGGTTTGATAGAAGGAAATTGGGCATACGATCCGTCATAATCCACACATAACGATTCCTATCTACTTTGACGTCACAAGGAAATATCATTTCTTCATCATCTCTATCAACAACGCCTAAATTTGTTGGATGATATAATAGCTTGTAGTTCCAACAACCTACCGCATTTCTATCGATTAAATTGAAAAATTGAATACCATTTTCATCCATAACCCTCGCTGTCGTATGCGAGTCGGGTCCTCTATCCTCCAAAGCTACGAAATCGTGATAGCTATCTTCTACTTTTATCTCGTCACGTAGAATCTTCGTTGACACAGCAAATTCTCGATTCGAAGCCAAAGGACTGAAATACAAGACTCTGAATCCATCTTCTTGAATAGGAGATAAAGACATTCCAAATATTCCTTCTTCTCCCCACTGGAAATTCAGTCCTCCAATATTGAAATCACCGGCCAAGGGATCAGGCATAAAATAGCTGTGTTCAAATCTCCATGATTTGTTCAAATCCCACGAATAAACAATTAATCCGTAACCTAATTCATCGCTCATATAAGCAAATGTATCGTCACAAGACTTTCTAACGTCTACTGCTATGTTGGCAATAAAGGTGTCTGCTTTTATGTCATCTTTTCGTAACTCATATCTTCGCAAACGAAGATTCGTATGTAAATCAAAGACATTTAGAGCATACGGACAAGGGTTAGTTGTTGAGGTATCAATTCCGAAGGTCCCCGTGTCCAAAACCCATAATCTGTCGCATTCGTCAGCTTTTATCCTATAAACTGTGGTCAGGCCTTCTTCGCAGTTACCAGCTTCATTATGTTGCCAGCTGGGATAAGGTATTAATAAGGGAGATAGAGGACCATCTTGATGCAGCGGGACATAGTTTAAAGTAGATGGAATTCCTGTTAAAAATAATGTATTTCTTACTTAATTAGCTCAGTTTTTACAGTTTTTGAAGTATCAATTATATTGCTGTACATGCTTTTTATATAGCTTACAAATAAGGTTGTTTATTGTTTCTAACGATAGGTGACATTTTTTACTCAAATGCTTAAACATGTTCTACTCTTTTAATATTGCTACGCAAAGTTAGATAAATATATTTTTTCATTTTACGACTCATTGAATACCGATACCTGTTTTAATTTAAAATGCACTGAAACATTATAATAATTGAGTTATCTCTACAATCAACCAATCAACATTTAATTAACGTTTAGCCCGACAATGAAATTGCAAAGAAAATTATTTAAGAGATTGTCTTGACATAGATTCAGATATTTTGAAAAATATGTGATAATTTTTATTTGTTCCAAAACTAGGACAACATCTGGGTTACCTACATTACATGCATATATTTTATAATATACAAATACTGTTCATAATTTCCACACTCTTTATGATATTCGGTACAGTAAATGAAAATCTGAACTGGTCTCAAGTATTGAAAGCAGTATTTATTAAACAAAATCTAACATTTCGCCAAAAAATTGTTTTTTTTTTCAAGAAGATTGTAATATCGACTGCAAACGTCCTTTTTATTGCGAGTATCCAGATTTTATAGCAATAAAAGGACGTTTAATAGTCACTATTTGGATGTATGGCAATTTCCTTTAAAAATCCCACAAACTTTTGGGCGAAACATCAGATTTCGTTTAATAAGCACTGTTTTTATCTCCTAAGACTAGTTCAAAAATACTGTTCCTTTTTTAAAGTTACAAACCCCTCAAGTACAATCAGCCCTTTATTTAATTGCGATTGGTTTATAGGTAAAAAAATTAAAAGCTTTAGGCAATGTCCTTTCATACGATCTGCATATATTTGAACCAGTTTCGAAGAGTACAATTAAACCAGTTATGGTTTCTTATCCGAATATTCATTTAAATATTCAAATTGCAAAGTTATGCAGTTCATAATGCAATTTATGTAGTTGCGCGTAAGTGATCTTATGCACGAGTAAGTGTATATCTATTGCACCTTTCATTGAAAGCGATAACGACATGCTCAGTTAGCAGTTGCAGAGAGGAAGTTTTTTTTTTTAATACGCGCTCAGATTTCGACATCAATAAGGAAAAGCCATTAGGGCAATTCAGAATTTTAATTGATAATTACACGTACTATAGCAACCGGTGTTTGATTACACGCGTACAAATAAATATATGGTACATACTCATACAGGTTTGCAATTGAAATGTAAAATTGGAGCGTTGTTTAATAGGAGAATTACGTAAATTGAAAACAGCTGTCGCACAAATCAGTGTCTAACAAGAAAATACTTGTTTATATCTGTACTTATTAAGTGCGCAAAAGTTACTAGATAGTTTGTTTTTATAACATTGCAAACTTTTTTTTGTCAGAAAATGGAGAAATGTTTGTCTATATTTTATGATCCACATAAAATTGTATTTGGCACATAAATCATTTGAAAAAAATGCATACGTACAAGTATTTTTATAGTACATCTCGTATAAATTATTATAATTTCACTTTCCAATACCACATAAGGGACGTATTAATCTTATTAAAAAATATTTCTAAAAATAATTCTCGATTCATTAAATCTACAAAAAGAACAAATTATGTTCAATATATTATTTTTAATGTTTCGGACTCTTTCAGTAATAAACAAAGTAAATAGTTTCCGTAACCGTATACGTACAACAGTAAATTACCGTAAATTATAATAATGTTTCATTTTTTTTACTCATATTTACTGGCTTTCTTCCATCTACCTATGAAACTTATTAATGGATGGTTGCGCACTTTTAAAATTTCACCTGCATGTTTTACTGGTATTTCTTTTATCAATTAACGACAGTTATTTGATTTAATCTAACTTTTAAAGTTACCAGGAGGAATTTAAATTATTCTTTTTAAGTCCAAGCATTTGCAACATAAAACTAATTAAGTACCATCTTGGAATGGAAATACAAGTTCAAAAGTACAATGGATCGTATACGGAAAACCTTGTATGTAGTAATTTTGATCTAGATACTACATATTTTAAAAAAGAAAATATTTGATACATTAGAGTACTTGAAGGAAATTCGACACGATTATATTAAAGATACGGAGCAGGTTTTATTGCGACAATCCTTGGAAAAAATATTTTGAAACAAGTAAATAAAAAGAGATAACTAAAAGAGACTCTTATCACTGCATACCATAAGTAACTTTTGGAAAAATAGTCACGTTTCGCATACTTTAGCTGTGGAAATAGTGCACTGATATTGAATTCTTTTTTGACAACTTCATTGTACTTTTACCATAAAAAGGTACCCTCTCGGTACCTACTATAGAATTTAATTGATAGTATTTTTAAATTCAATAAGTATTGGTCATTATTTTATTAAAAATAAATTAGAAAGGACTTCGACTACTAATTTATTAAACGAACTAATTGTATGTTACCAATTAAAGGTACATATATAACTAATGTTATCTAACAATTATGATCGCGTTGGAATTAGCTAAATAAAGTAATGTTCCATAATGTTTTAGTAAATAAATATTGAGATAAAGGGAACCCCTGACGACTTTGTAATTATATTAAAGTTACCTTGTCTCCATCGAGGTACTGTAACAAAAAGTTTATCATTCCATATTTCAATCCCCACAGGAAGATTATTTTCTGGGATAAATCTGTTGGTAAGAAGGGCCTTTACTTTATCCTGTACACTAGGGAACGCATAGTCCAATGCTTTCCATTCAAACAATTTTTGAAACACATTTGCACAATCGGACAACTGAGACACCAACAGAACAAGAGTAATCACCTTCATTTTTCAAAAACAGAAACCTAAATAAAAGAGAACATACTTTTATACACTTGTCTCCAAAGAAAATTGTATAGACATTTTTGCAGATACGAAAAAAAATATTATAAAAAAGTTACCTCGTAACAGTTAGGGATGATATATAAGTATGTCTGAATTTTCTTTAAAACACTCTCATCTCTAACGAACACTAAAAACAATAAATCACTACTGTTAAAATCCTTATTGGTGTTCTATCCTCCACTGCCTGAACTATTTAATCATACGGTTTCCCGGTTTACCATTTATATACGAGAGGTTTAATAACGCTCCGTCGCCTTTCAATTATTATGACAATTTTGTAAAATTCGTCCGATTATAAAATCATATAAACACCCAGATTACAATCTTGTCGTTTGTTTTCAATACAATAATTAATCTTAAGTTACAATTAGACGTACCTACTAGTAAAAGTTTATGTAAATTCTTTTAAACTATGTGGTACACTACACATACACATAATTAAAGGTTGAAAGTAGGAGTATAAGTTATTTTATTTTTTTTTTATTTCCACTAGATATCACTCAACTTAAACAGCAACGACATTTGATATAAAATATGTCCTTAAAACAAAAATGTAGCACACCCTGTAATGGAAGTAGGTCATTTTTCCCTAGAAGTCGGTTATTGCATAATATTTGTGGGTAGTAAGTACCTACAAGAAGTATTTTAATAAATTTCATAATTTTTTGAGCAGTATAAGCATATAATGTATATAATTAATAGAGAACTTTTGAAAATTAAGTTTACATAAGTTTTCATCACTATTGCACCATTTTTGACTTAAAAATTGCTCCTCATATATTTAGTATTAATTTCTACATTTCTTAAAGAAAAACAGTCATTACCAAAACGTAATTAAGAATCGATCAGCCAAAATACCTAACATGAAACATTACCATATTTTCGTAAAAAATATTTTTTCAAAGTATGACGATGTCAACAATATACATAATATATAACTTTACACTTTGTATAATCAGTAGGTAATTTACAAAATGCATTTAATTAACAGATACATGTATAGTAACGGTTTTTCATAAAGGCTCCGATAAATATATGTATAGTTTCCAAATAACTATTAGTTTAAAAACCCTAAATTGTTTCTTAGGACTTTTGTGTTTATCTATTTTATCTTTAGTTACCCCTAACTATACATACATTTAAAAAAGATACCTATTACCCATATCGGTTATTAATTGATAAATTAATAATTAATTGTGCACGAGATTAAACCCGCACTTGACCGATTTTAATTAAGCGTAGTTTTAAACATTTTCATTTTAATATGAAACAGACTTGACCCAATCTTGTTAATTAATATAAAAAGTATTTCGTTAAATTCAGCAGTTTCAATTTTCGTTCAAAAAAATCAAACTTTACATAAAATATGGTATTCACATTTGTATGTCTTAACTAACGAAATTAATGTTACATACAAAAAACCAAGAAATGTAAATTTCAGTGCAAGATATTTTGCATCGCTGAACTAAACAAAAAAAATATTTTGCGTGTCCGGAAATCTCTCACTGAATATAATTACCTATTAAAATATTTTTTTTACAGAAATGTCGAAAATGAAATTATTTCATATTTTAATTTTATACTAATGAATTAAAAACTTTATTTTAGAATTAATAAACGTAAAAATAACTTTATGATTTTTCCATATTTATATCACGTAATAATAATAAAGCAGTAAAAGCGGAATTCAAAAAAGCAAATAATAAAATAAATTGATAGTAATATGTAGGATAAATTAATTCAAATACAAAAATGTCAGTTTTAAATAAAGGGAGGGAAATTGTTAAACATAACGTGTGTATATGGTGTGTATAACCTCAATTCAGATTCCGCTCAATGTCTTATTAAACAGTCTTAAACGAAAGCGAAAGACAACAAATAATAATCTACCAAGCAAAGGCTAACAGCATGTTTACAGTTTACATGTTTATTAGAATTGTATCAGTTTAGGATTTGCTGGAAATGTGTACATTTATTTTAAAATTTAGTTTTCATGAAAAAAGAGCAAAACAGCATAATAGGACTGAATCAGTGTAGGAGGAAAAAAGGAAAGGTGTATAGATATTTACATCATTTGAGTCTACGTAGAAATATTTACCATGGTAGGATCACACAAGGAACAGAAAAATTAATCTTTAATGCGCTGATTCTATCATATTGTAGGATGAAGAAAAGGAAAAAATTAGAAAAACCATTTCAAGTATTTTACTGTCAACCCCTTTAACTTTAACAATTGGTCAACTGATCAAAGACTACAGAGATGCCATTGGCACTAATATTCCTTTTCAAAAGTTTGGCTACAAATCTGTTGAGCAGTTTCTACGTTCCATTTCGGCATTTGAGGTAGATTAACTAGTATTTGTAGCGTAATAATATAATAAAAAACAATTTAAAAATGTTGTAGATTTATGGACAAGGCAGTGGTGCACAAATTAAAGCAAAAGTGACTTCAAAAGCGGCACATATCGACAAACTCGTAGTTCGACAAAAGTATAATGTGCCAAAAACAAGGTGATGATTATTTACATTCTAATTTGAAAAAGCAATCTATTCTTGTTTTTCTTTTATAATTTTTATGATGAGTGAACATTGGTATTGGAAATTTTTTATAAAATCGGAAATCTCTTCTTACAGCATACTATTTTAACAATTTCTGCAAGCACAGGAAGATAATATGATAGGTTACCAGTGTTTATTAAGATTTCTATAGATAACATGGTAATTAATACATGTTCAGTAGACTTTAGTTTTACAATGATTTTATGAAATACCGTTGTATACCTGAAAATCCATGTCATTTTATCATCTGTTACTGGATAGTCAAAATAGTCAGACACTGTAAAATTTGATTTTTATATCCAAATATACAGAAAAGGACGTACCTTTTGAAAATTACCTGTAGTTATTTTTACATTAGTTTTGTTAATAATAAAACCAATTTAGAATACTTTTATTGATTAATGCATTTCTCTTAAGCATTTTTCCCATGATATATAAAAGATTTCCAAGTATCAAGTAAAATATTACTTCGAGATAGATGCTGAATTCATTTAATTATGTAAAAAGGAAGAAGATTTCAAGACCAGCAATTCGAAGGTATCAGGCCACACCTTTGCCTGTTGAGCAACCCAACTTTTCTTCAAATTCTTCATCTCGGACTTCTCAGCATCAAAATGTTCTTTCCCCATCAGTGCAAGAAAAAGAAGATTTACCATCTACCTTTTCAGAACAACAGTATCAATCAGTGACACAATCTGAAACTATAAATCAACAAAATTTATACAAAAAACAAAATCATCAAAACGTATCTCCACCACATAGAGAAAATGCTTTTTCATTTCCATGCTCATCACGTGCTAATCCTATTCAGGGTATTAATCTACCTCCTTACTTGGAAACTTCTCAATCAAAATCAAAATTTAGAACAAACAAACCTAAATTCGTCCCGCCACAAATAGAAAAGAGATGCAATAGTAATTTACTTAATAAATCTAATACCGAAATTGAAAACCAGTGGCAAAGTACAGCATCTAAAAATTCCGAAGTCACGGAATTATCGAGTACTTCAGGTAACGTTTGTTTAGAAAATTATTTTTCTTCCCTTTCGGATGATATCAAAACGACAGCGAAAGGAGCTGCAGCAAATTTATCATCAAAATCTATCTCTCTCGATGATGTTTTCGTTAGTGACAGTGAAGACGAGGATTATATAAATTACAAAGTACCTGCTGAAGTGCAGCAAAATTTATGTATTCTTATAAAGAATTATCAAGATGGTTTATGGTGCAATGAACTTCCTAATGCTTACAAGTATGTTTCAAATTCCTTAATATTGAACTAATTGAATGAACAAGTGTTCTTTATTGTTCTAGGAGAAGGTTCAGAAAAACATTAGATTATATGGATTATGGTTACAAGACTTTGATGGCTCTTTGTATGGATTTGGATAGGATATTTCATTGTATAAGACCTGACAGGGGAGACATAAAGCTATATGACAAAAGCAAACCATTACCCTTAAACGCTGCAAATAGTTTACATTTTACAGATCTGTTGAAAAATACAGAAATGGTGGATTATCCAAAAGATAATGCGTTGCCAGATGTATCAGTAAGTTGTATTGTCTTTTTACTAAAAGGGTTAAAATTGATAAATAATTAATTCTCTTCATATAATCCTTTCTCATCCAATTATTTAATTGTAGGATGTTATAATGTACAGAAAACAAAGCGAACTGCCCCCTGACGTGGTACATTTATTTGAAGAATTACCACGACAGTGGATTTCCGAAGACATAAAACTAATGAGTTTTATTGATATAGATGTGGGCGAAATCTATGATCCTTCAAAATTTTGGATTATACTTAGGGGGCCAGAAACTTCCCAAAAACTCGATGCCATGATGGATGAAATGCAGTAAGTTATAGAAGAAAACAAAACGTCAGTCCCTGATATTAATGGTTATATTTTATTCCAGAGAATTTTACACTGCCCACAGAGAGTTGCAGATACCAGAAAAAAAACTTGAGTTAGGACTTTACTGCGCAGCTTTGATTTTAGGCGAATATCACCGGGGAATTATCACACACCTTATGCCCCATGTAGAAGGTCAAGTTAAGGTATGAACTGTAAAATAAAATGCAACAAAACCTTTGATTTTTTGTCCGTAGGTATTTTTCGTAGATTATGGAACAGTGTCGCCTATTTTTACTAAAGATATTTGCTACTTGCATCGTAAATTTTTCGTCCTTCCTCAGCAAGCAATTAGAGCTCGATTGGCCAATATATACCCTCCCACTGAAAAGATGCAATGGTCAAGACAATCTGCCTCTGCTTTCCTTGAAATGGTCTTCCAAAAGTCAATGGTGGCTCAAATATACAAAATTGATGAAAAGGTATTTCAGAAAAACTAATATTAAAAGTCATTTTACGTTATTTATTTCTTTGTTCAGCGAAAAGCACTGGAACTGTTCATAGCAGACACTACGGGGGATGAAGACTATTACGTAAATGATAGACTGACAGAATTGGGGCACGCGATATTTACTTATCAGGTAAACGAATCTAATTCCAAGTTAGTCGCATCTTCTTCACGTAGTAGTACCGTTTCGGAATTTAGTTGTGATACAAATGATTTCGAAAATAGCACCTTCAGGGGTCGTTTTAGGAATCTCTTAAGAAAGATAAATTCACCAGAACTAAATAAGGAAAGTGGCAACGAAACTGTTAAAGAAAACAACGAAAATTGTAATAATTTTTCTGCAAATAATAAAATCAAATTGAATGGTTTTAGAGGTCGTTTAAAGATGATCTCGCAAGATAAAGAACCACCCACTGCTACTACTTCTTATTGCCATGAAAGTATTAACAATGAACAGCATGATTCAGCTGGAAAAGAAGGAGATTTAATTACAACTGAAAGTATTAAAGAAAAACGACAAAATAGTTTACTAATTAAATTCCTATTAAAAGATAAGGTACAAAGAAGTTCTGAAGAATCAGTAGCAGACAGAGAAATAACAATAGATTACAAAACGTCGTATGAAATTAACGACGCTAAAGAAACTGTCGATAACGTTAAACATATACACAAGAATGATGTTAAAAATGGGTCAAAAAGTATAAGAGCTATATTAAAGAGAATGTCGATTAAGAATGAATGTGAGAAATTGTGAAGGTTGTGATTAAATTAAAAAGAAGATTTCTCTATTTGAAATCTAAGAATCTGTTTTTGTATTATATAAAAATTGTTTTTGGGAAACACTGTTTATTTTTTATACATTACGTTTTCGTTTGTTTTCGTCATTTGAAGCAGGTCGTTTATTATTTCTGTTACCTAATGACACAGAGTCAGTCGTTATTGTTTGAGAAAAAATATGTAAATATATCAGTCGAATAAATCACTTTATTTAATTTAAAAAATTGTTTTCATTTATTGCTTCCATCCCACTTATTAGTTATTTATTAGTTGCATATTTTTTCTCGAACTCGAACCAACTTCTGTTAAATCCATCAACTAAAAGATCAGTTTATACGTCAATAATTATATATACAGTAAATAGTTTACCCAATTTATACTTCAGAAATAAAAATCATATATTTGACCTTTAGGAACAAATACCTGTCGAACTTCCGCCTAATGAGGAGCCAAATGTTCGCTTTATTCACCTATTTCCTTCTTTTGATGAACTAGAACAAGGTTTAGTACCTACAGCAACCCAAATGGAACGGATGTTAGAAACAGGTGTCGAACTACATCATATTTATCCATGGTACTACAAAAAATCTATTGATCTAGAAGATTTTGCTGAATGGCCTAAAACCATCCCAGAAAAACGTGAAAGTACAACAAACATTTCCCGTTACATGAAATTGGCTACTGAAGGAGGCGAGGAAGAAGATTTGATGAATTTTGCAGCTAATCAACAATTTTTGAACAATCATCCGGAGCCTTTGATTGATTTGATGTCTAGTTACGATTGTGGGACAAATTCTTATGAAAATATCGTGAATGCAACATCTTCGTATAATTTTCCTGTGTTAACTCCAGAAGTTTTGTCAACCAAAGTAGAAAACAATTACAACACAAACTCCTCCTTTAGCAAAATGAACACTGAAGTGTCGGAATCGTCAAATTTCGACTTCAAAAGTGATAATAGAAAACTACCTCATTTTGACAGTAATTTAGATGAAATTAAAAAACAAACGGAAGCGGATAGTTTTTCAAATAAATTTGAAAACAGCTTTGCATTCGGAGCTTTTGCATACAATACAAATTTAACTACTTCTATTGAAAGTCATTTAGATGCTGTTAAAAACGAAACCAAAGCAGATAATCTTTCTTTTACCAATTCATTAGATGTACACAAGGACAACTTTTTAACTGGAGAGCCTTTATATAAATTAACTACTTCTTATAGTAATTTACAGAAAAATGACAAGAAAGAAAACGCTGGATTGACTGATTTGTCTTCAACTTTTAATTCCAGTGAAAAAAATAAAAGCCCAGAATCATGTAACGATAGTTTGAAAATTAAACTGGTATCACCAAAATTAGACAAATCGAAAAAGAAAAAGAAATCTGGAAAGAAAACTGAAAATAATGTTTGTCAAACGAACACTACTGAAAATACATGCAGTGAATCAAGTATTACCCTCCCCAAAATAATCCGACCACCTCCAGGATTCGAAGGAAATCTTAATGTTACCAGTAACAACACGCAAAATGTAATTCCCAGTGTACAGCAGAATTTCATTAACGTTTATTTAGGAAACTTACAACCAGCATTGTCTGCAACTGTGCCTACCTTTTACCCCTGTAACTTTGGTCCAATGGGTGTCGCTCCTAATCTTTTACAGCAACAAGTATTGCTGCAGGGGATGTTACAGAATCAAATGATCATTGAAAATTTTCAGCGTCAGCAACAGATGATTATGCAGCAAGAGCAAAATAAAAACATTGTAGCTGACCAGATGGCACTTCTGCAGCAAATGGCATCACAATTAAATTTGAGTAGTGATAAAGACAATTGTAAAGTGATAACAACACACAAAAAAATGGTAATGAAAATTGGTAAGTTAAACTCTTTACCATAAATATATTACTATGTAAGTATTCGATGTTATCTTCAAACCGTTTATTTATTTTCTGCTGTTATTCCAAATTTTTTCAAATTACATATTGGAAACATTGTGAAATACATATTTGCATATCCGTGATACACATCACAAATCTAATTAAATTTTGACTTTCATTGGAAAATCAAAATTTACATATTATATTTACAGTAATTTTAAAACCCCTATAATTTTAGACTTTTATAAGAAAACCCTCCATCTAATAAGGTACACAAATGAAATTTACTGTAGTGTTCAAGAAGTGCAAAAAGTATTTTTTGGTGATAAGTGGCCTATTATAAAGCTTAAACGTCACATTGCTGTCACGAACCCCTCAATACGAATCGATAACTTTCATAAAAATGAATGTATCGAACTGACGCAGGAACTGTTACAGTAAGTTATGATAGTGACTTTTTGCCATTTCACTTGACCGTAATTCATTTTGTAGAGCCAATGTTGTAACTGAAGAGGAGATGTCTGCTTCAATGTGTTTATTACACTTGGTTACTTTTAAGGACTTACCAAACCTTATAAATACAGTGAGCCATTCAAAGTTGGAGTTTCCGAATTTCGATAAGTATTTAATGAAATATGATTATAACAGCGAAGCTTGGTTATGATCTTTTCTCATTCGAGTTTGTTTTTAAATGGTGATATTATTTTTTAGTTTTTAGAATTTGTGTTTTATTCAAATTTTTATTACTTAAAGTGGAAAATTAATTTTTAGATATAAGTAACGCTAATTTAATTACTACGTGTTAAAATGAAATTTGTTTATGATAAACTTGTATACGAATTTAAAAACTTACAAGGAGTTTATTTGTTAAATAATCATTTTTTTAATGGTTAAAGTCAATGCAGTTTTATGGAATTGCTTTTATATAAAAGTTTCTTTCCTTCTTGGCATAGATCCGATTTGTATGATATACAAAATAAACGGACAAAATAATTCTAAAACGTCAATAATTTAATTTTTAAAAGACCTAATCACTATCGCAGAGTTATCAATTCGAAGACTGGTTGGACATGTACTTTTAAGCCTTCCTATGTTGGCCCAATCTTCGCATTCCTCTAAAACTAAAAAAATCCTACATCTCTAATTATTTGCGGATAGCAATCTAATCTAGGTCTTCCTTTATTTCTTTTTACTCCTATTTTTACTTTTAATGTATATGCCTCTAACTACCCCTTCATGTCAGAAGGTATTCTTATATTTTTTTTGTTTATATTATCTGTCCTTCCCCTTTTATTGACATCGCTGTTTTCTACTTCATCATAAATCAAATAGGAAATCTCATTTTACCACCAATTTTTCTATTTATTTATAAAATTAATACAACCGTTTATTACAAGTTAAAATTAATTATAAAAATAAATATCTTTTTTTATTCGTAAAGAAAAAGTTAATTCGTTATGGACGTTCCAGTGTAATTTTTGTTTTGGGGGTCTGAAACTGATAGGGTAAATCCCCAATCTTGTCTAGCTGAGGATTAAGACAAGAATTAAATTTCCCTCGTTTTTTTTGTGTTCGACCTTGAGCATTTACTTCCTAACCTCAATTACTTTTGTCTTCGATTGAGGTTATATTGTTTTGTTATGTTCCAACAAAGACAAGAACAGTCAATAAAACCGTGAAAGAATTTTTTTAACATTTTATGTTTTAAACAAAATGGCAAATGATCGTGAAATTTTAAGAGAAATATGGGAAGGCAAACTTCCTGTATGCTTTACATTAAATCCAGATGAAGTTTACGAACTTCAAGAACCTGATCGTTTTTATTTAATGGTTCCTAGAATAAGTTATTTTCCTCTAGTAGTAGATAAGGTGGGTAATATTTTGAAAACGTAACATTTCTTTTACCGAACATCTTTTATATGTTAAATTGAACCATTCAAATTTAGGTAAGAAAACATTTTATGAGATACATTGCAAATGATAAACAAGATCAAGAGATGTGGTTGGAATACAATGGTCAAGCATTGAAATGGCACTATCCCATAGGAGTTCTTTTTGATTTACTGGTAGAATCAGATTCTGATTTACCATGGAACATTATAGTGCATTTTGATAAATTCCCAGATACAATATTTAGATTTAATAACAAGTATGTTTTTTAATGTTTCCTTTCACAAAAAGGGAAATTATAGTAATTATCTCTTTTAGGGAGTTAGTAGAGTCCTACTTTATGTCATGCCTTAAAGAAGCAGATGTGCTGAAACATAGAGGTCAAGTCGTTAGTAGTATGCAAAAGAAAGATCACAATCAGTTATGGCAAGGATTTCACAATGGTAAGTTTACAGTAGGTAACCAGATAAGCATGCGCTTCCTGCCTTTTGGTATAATAGATTTTTGCCTCAACAGTTTTTAATATAATTGAAAAGATATTTTTTTCAGAAATAAAATGAGCTGATATATGTAATAGAAATGTGAGCTTTTATATGATAACTTGTTTAACAAAACTTAAAAAAGTGATGGTAAAACATTAAAAATAAGTCACAGTAAAAATTAGAAGGTAGTTGCTGCTAATAGGTTTTTAATATGTTTTTATTCAAAATTGTAATATTATTTTTCTTATCAATGTGACTGAAAGACGAAAATCAGTTAAAATCAAAAGGCATGCTATTCATAATTACTCAGACACTACCTTTAATTTTTAATTTTAATTTTCAGTATTTTAATTTCCAGATAAGTTTGATCAATTCTGGGCAGTAAATAGGAAATTAATGGAAAAATCTGCTGATCAAGACTATTTTAAACACATTCCATTTAGATGTTACTTTGAAGACAACTATAAACAAAAGCTTGTAAAGCCAATCACAGAAGACGGAAAAAAGAAGACTTTAAGTGATCTACTACAAGAAGTTTATCCTGATAGACAAAATGGTAATTATATTTAGAAAAAAATTATTTAAATTCCAGTTATTAATCAATTTTTAACTTAGTCATAGTACGCACACATGGGGTGGAACCACCACTTGAAACGCCACTTCAGTGGATGTCAGAACACCTTAGCTATCCAGACAATTTTTTGCATCTTTGCATTCAATCATAAAATAGTAAATGGGTCTTTATACGATGTTGAGTTTTGATGCTATACATTTTTAACAAATCAAAAAAAATGTAATTATATTTAGATGATTGTATATTTATTGGAATGCTGAAAATTTACTTGCTAAAAGTTATGAGGAGGCTTTTATGATTTTTTTAAAAGGCTTGGGAAAAGACCAATAGGAAAAAGATATGACTGAAAATGAAGCGAAAATAAAACAGCGCAATATTAAATTAATATTGCATATTTATATTCAGCTTTTATAAAAACGAATTTAAAAATGGCAGGGTAGAGATGCAAAATACAGTCCAAACTAAACAAAAATATCTGATTAATTTTATTACTGCAATAGAATTGTATATTTATACATATAATGAATATACATTTATCCATAAAGTAAGTCTCAAAATATAGTTAATGAAATTAATAAATTTGATTAAATTTCCTTTTTATATTCTACAAATTCTGTAGGCAAATATTTTGTAGTCTGGTTAATTTTGTAATTCGAGTTTTTTTTCAATATTTAGTATTGTTTCAATTGCCATCCAAAAACCCAATATCGTATAACTCAAATATTTCTATTTTGTTTTCAGCGTCTATCGTAATAAGTACTATAATTAATTTTGTTAGTCTTTTTTTATTCAACAATACAATTATAAACGATCTCAGTATTACGTTCAAATAAATTTGAAGTAATTATTTTGTCTTAACAACCAAACCAATTCCTTTATTTTCATCACTAATAGGTAGTGTATTCATTATCACATGAAAAATGTTTTGATGAGATTTAAAGGGAAATCAAATACAATTTTAGTCTTACAATATCATTAATTAAAATAAATGATGGTTCGATTCGGTTTTTATTTTATTCTTAAAAAAAATAATGGCACTGCTTTATTTTCCGATATTTACAACTCTCTTATTCTGGGTCCTTTTTGTAATTAATCTTGAATTTTTTGAATAAACGGACTTGCACAGTTGAAAAATTAATTGACGTACAAACAGACGGACACACAAGGAACTCTTGTGATAAATTCTTTTCTTGGTACAATGAGTTTCTTTTTCAGTTTTCGATGCGGAATTACTTTTATTTTTCTCAAAAATTTTACTTTTGTAATATTTGTACGGATTGTTGAAAATATTCAAAGCTGCGGTTTTGTTTGAATAAAGTTTTCAATACCATTAAAGAATACATTAATACTTTCTTAATATAAAAATTAAATAAATAAAACAATTGGTTAATTTCTGATAAATGTATTTTATAAAACATGTCATATAAAATAGTACATATTATCTATGAACACTTACAATTTGTATATTATCAATATAATCAGCCCAGCTGCACGTTAGATATCAACTATTTGTAATATGGTCACAACCTTTCGAAAAAGGTCACGTATGTTCGCCGATATCAACATTGTACACACGCGCGCATACATACAACAGTTATTCAACAATCAAATCCTTTTCTCTACTAAATATTGCATCTTTCTTTAAAAAAACAGTCGCCAACAGGGTACACATTTCAATATAAGGCATTTGGGTCGTAACAATTACGTACTAACGACTTTATGGCATAGGAAGACACATTTCACTAATGAAATATGGGGCCCAAATTTCGTTATCTGAAATTAAAATGACAGCTAGTTGTATAATCAATCACATAGGATAGATGCCATTTTGTTAAAAATTTTATTGCAATTTATTAAACCACGCAACCTAAATATTTGAATACAATTTCATTTTTTCATTTATCACTGAAGTACAGAAAAGTAATCATAAACTTCCTCAATTTCGATTTGTTGCATAACAAAATGGACCAAATACTTTTTCAGTCAACGAAATGGGTCAATTTTCCGCTTCTTTAAAACGCCGCTTAAAAAATAGCTGCCTTCCTTTTTTGGCACATTTTATGTATATGTATATATATATATGAATTAATTAATTACAAGGCACTAAAGATATATGTATAGTAAGACTATAATATTTATCATCTGTTACATGTATAAAATGAGCAACTTTGTGAACATATTTAGCACCCAACAGCATAAATATAAATGTGTAATATGTATACATATCGAAATTATCTTACTAATTACGAATAAGGCCAGTATATATCTTTATGTTTGTACAACTATCGGTAAAACTTCTAATTCTATAAAATTAAAGTCCGCATGTTTTTACAATAACTAAAAGCTAATATTGCTACTATAAAAGACTCTCTTGGCTATTGAAGTTTAATATTAAATAATAACTATTAAAACCGGAAACAGAAAAAATATGCGCGTTCCTCCATAAAAAAAAACAAAAAACATTTACATATGTAAATTTATGATCATCACTAAAATGCGCTACAAATACAAATTGTTATAAATATCTTTGGATCAATTAAAAATGGGAAAGTTAGATTTTTAACTTCATTAAAACATCCGTAAAAATTAGGAGTAAGAAATTGGATAATTTGCAACAGTTTAAATTTTTGTATTTTTTTGGAGGAACACATACTAATAAAGCGGCTATATAACATGATGTTCTTTCCTTCTACCTTACAGCATGAATGGTTTTGAAAGTTTCGTTTTTCTGTACCAGGAATTCATCCTCAGGTTTGACCCACTTATGCAAAGGTTTCCTGGTGCTTCCCTTAGTGTCTTGGTAATAGCACTCAATTGTGCTTAATTTAAAATCAACACTGTAACTTTGCCTTTGTCTCAAAGGCATTGGGTGCAACAAGCCTCCTTCCTCATATGAGCAAAGATGAGGGGGATACATATAGGTCTCTTCGAGAGAGTAGACATGGTACGCTTTCCTATGGACAGGATATTCGGGAAAACAGTACGAATACTCTGAACTTACGATGTGGTTATTATTATTGTTGTTATTGTTGTAGTAAGCGGATTCGCGTTCATGGGGATAGGCGATAGCGTTACAACAAGGTATGAACGATTTGTTCCTAATAATAACCGAATCACGTGGTTTTTTGACATCCTTCGAGTCAACATCGTCCTCGTCATGTAAGTCATCGAGGTAAGGTTTAAATAACTTAACAGGCTTGGGTTTGGGACTGTCGGGCGAAGATGGTTCCTCTTCTTTAATTTTACGTTTCAAGGTTTTCGTGGAAAGGTCCCATACCTTCAAAAAAATATACACCATTAAGTCTATGATCATTCACATAAATGGGTTTATTTCTTAATTGAAAGCTCATATATTTAGATTATTACTGACGTCGTCTGGAGTTAAGGCAGTAAAGTATATTGTCAGTGTACTAAAAGTTTTAAGGTTCCTAGTTTACCCCGTGTGAGGCCGGGAATAAGAATAGCCTCACCGCCTGTACCTGCGTGTCGTAAAAGGCGACTAATGGTGACAAACTAGGAAAAACATTAATTTTCATTTAATTTTTAGGAATGATCTTTATTGGGAAAAAAAGAGAATTTAGCTTAAATAAGTGATTAAAACAAGAATGAACTGTCCTAAAGAGAAACCCAGAGCGGAAACAGGTACACAGTAAGTAGAATTTCCAGCATTACAAGATTTTTCGTAAATTATAAATATCTGGTTTACAGAAATATAAAATATGTAGAATAAATAATAATAAATCGTCTCAATATTGATGATTTGGACAAGTAATATGTATTCTGCTTTCTAAAAATGACAGTAGTAGCTGGTACATTTGTTATACACTTTTAAAAGCGGTCAAATTATACATAATTGTTTTCTTGGGGCTATATTTATATTGGCATAGCAAAGGGGGGCGGGTAGGTGGACCAGGCCACCTTAGTCTATCAATTATTCAAGTACAAATAATGAGACAAATCTACAATAATTTACATTTAGAGCTGCTAATGTTAGAAAGTAGAGTTGAAAATTTGCCCCCCCCCTCCAGGAAAAAAATGTTGCTACGCCTATGTGTCTTTCCTTATACTTAGAATTGGTTTTGAATTTTGTATATTAGGGTATTTCAGTGCTCTGAATGCGAATCTAACCATGAAAATGCTCGCAATACCCCCAAATTATTGAGATGATACCCCAAATGAGAATAGGGCATTATAGTTTATTAGACCGACAACCAATAAAATTATTATTGAATATTATTATGGTCATACCCTTCTAAGGGCATTTTGAGATATGCAGCTTTCGGTATTTTTATATTTTTATTATATTTATTTGGTCCGTAAATATTTATTCTTTTTGTTGTAAGGTGTTTTTAAAAGATAATTTTATCGGTATCGCTATCTAAATGCGATAAACTCATAATTTAAACTAGTTTTCTTGAAATTTCATCCATAAATAATAAACAATAGGTTACAATACATGTGTTATCTCTAATAATGTTTACTATTACACTCATCAACTCATTCTGAGATAAAAATAACATAAATGCTAATGGAGGGGGGGGCGCAAGTTTATACCCTCATCTCATTAATTGAGAAACGCCGCTTTGAAATTTTTGAATAGAACCGTAACTCTTCAAATATTTATTTTAATGTTATGGTTAAAAAATTGGTTTAATTATACCGCATCGTTAAATACATATTTCAATCCTACAAAGGTTGCCTATTTATTATATTGTATTATTTTTATATTTTGTCGTAATATGAACATGCTGAATACTTACTTCGATGGAAGATTGATGTTGCGCGCAGAGTGTAGTGGAATTGACCGTGGCCGCGGACATTATCGGTGAAGTGGCGCTTGCGCATAGCGGGGAAACGGGGGTCGATGGATAGAGAATGCGGCTCTCCGGAAGGGCGAGGGGCGGGGCGTAATACGCAGGTGCCTGCTGCTGGTTCTTGAGCGAGAGGTCCATGGGCGCCGCCGGGTCTGCAACAACGACCGTTGCCGTCGTCGTCGGACTCGCCCGGGAATGCACAGTGTAATCGAGCGGCGACACAACGGCTGACGTTGTCGTCGCGAGCGGCCATGGCGCCGCTGGAACAACTGCCTGCTGTAGCGGTGCCACCACGGCTGGCGAAGTCGCCAGGGCAATCGCTGCCGGTGCTGAAACAAAAATAGAAAAAGCGTCAACAATCGCGTGACAAAATTGTATACGGGGCCTAAAACAGAACTCGACGTCGCAATTAATCATTTCATTAGAATCCTATACTCATTTAAATACTTTGTAATACGATAAAAAGAAAAGAAACCCCTATTTCTAAATTAAACCCACATGTCTAAGGACTCAGGTCATTCGCCATAAACATATTTTGTTTATCCGATTGCATAACTTGAATAAATTTGAACAAGTAAATAATAACTACTTATAAGTAACAAACAGAGGAAACATTAATCTGCGACACGCGATTCTATTCCATCAAATTATTTAGAATAGGTATAGTTTAATTGCACAAAAGTTAGTTATCAGAAATAATAATGCCTACCTAATTACACAAAAAAATCTACAAAAAATTTTATAAAACGTTCAAAAAACTTTCAATGTAATTTATTTAAATAGGTACAGTAAATGTAATGTTGCAAAACAGAAATGCTGGTGACAGTATTTACATGTCATTGGGCGCGTGGGATCTCTGCATCGCCATCGCATCGGATAGATCTAAATTTATAAATTGCGCTTTACACACTAGCGTAGAGTTAGGGAATATTCTGTTACATGAAGTGATCCATGCATGATTCGAAGTGATATAGGAAAATTCGTACAAATACCTTCAGGATACAGGCGAATTGATGTTAGAAATGAGGAGGTATTAGATAGAGGCTAGTTACAGACATATTAGAAGCAGAAACAGGAGCTAAGAGGAGGAAAAGTAGACGGACACGCGAAGATTAGCTCAGGATAGGAAAAAGTGTTAATATTAAGGTAATATAATTCCAATAAATGTAATTTAAGTTTTTGAGGGTGTTATGCTTGTTCGGAAGATGCTGAAAGTTATATTAGTTATAGGGTGGAGCGACATAAAAAAAACCGACAAAGTTATGTGTTAGATTCATACATAATATCAGGCATGAAGGTCTAGTCAGAGACATATTAGAGGCAGAAACGAAAGAGAGGGGTCTAGGGTAGAGGTAGACCTAGATTAGATTACTATTCGCAAATAGTTATGGATATGGGTTGCTCTAGCTTTAGGGAAATGTCAAGATTATCGCAGGATAGGAAAAAATAGAGGTGCGTAACCAACCAGTCTTTAGGACTGACGACCTTATGATTATGATGATATGAATAATAATATAAGAACGAATGTTTTGAAAAACACCAATTTTAATATGATTTATAAAAGAACAACATTTCACATTAATGGGTAGGTAGGTATATTTTGGAAAATAAAATTTCAAATAGGGATAATCGAATCGTATCGACTATCCGTTGTGTCAATGGTAAACAAAAAATACTTACAAGAATAGAACTTACGGCGGCCAATTTTATACATGTACTGTAGACGTTTCGTAACACTGTTGCTTCTTCTCAAAACAAATTAATTATACTCTACAGAAAGGTAGGGAATGATAATACTCAACTAAAAAAATCACTTTGCATTATAAAAATTAGATACCTATTTCCAATTGCCAATAAAAAAAAGATTTATAGAGGTTGTCGCGGACAGCTTTTTAATTAAATTAATGCCCACGACAGTGCATTAATATTAATGAAAAGTTCACATTTGAATTTATTATATAGGGTAACAACTACTGCTTTTTTATTGCGTATATTTACTATATTTAATTTCCTGTTACTTTAGGAACTTTTTCTAAAATGGCGCTTAACAAACTGGTTTAATTTAATCGCGTACTTAAGTGTTTTAATACCTGCTAAATCGAAGCTATCGGCCATCCCATTTATTAACCATTAATTATTAACGGTTATTTTGTATAGAACAACAGGAAACAAATAACACTAATCATATTTACGGAAAGCCTTTAAAATGACTTTTTAAACTAGTATCATTAATGGTTTCTATCATACCTACAGGTTCGTCGAGCCAATGATTCATTTACAATTAAGTGCATCCAAATTAGAGTGTGTAATGTGAAAGACTTATTACACGTACGATATTTAAAAAATTTGAATGTACTCATTGCAATAAATTTTTGTTTCCAACTCAAATATTTTGTAATTTTAATGAAGACGTAAAATAGTAGCTACTAATGCTGAAAGTATTTAGTGATGCTTATTTAAAAGCGAACAAACACTTAAAAAAGCAACAGTCGATAAGCTTTTCGCTAGTAATTTTACTTAAAAGTACCTATGTCCTTGTCGTAATTCGTCACAATTTATCGTATCATCATGAAAGCAGGAATTTTTTCGTGTTCTACTTATTATTCGGCTTATCTGCTTGAGATAATCTACAGCTTTTTAAAAGAGTCATCAGAAACCTACTTGAAGTTGATAGAAGATTCTATCTTTAAGACATTTTTAAATTCCATTTAATTCATTTACCAGAAAACTGAAATTCACGAAAGATATAGGACGTGGAATTCGTCATAAAAGCTTGTTTATTTACGTAAAAGTATAGTTGTATAGTAGGTAGGTACATAGTTGTGGATTTCCTAGAAATTTCATGAGTCATCTGCACATTTCATAGGTGTTCTGTATAACAGCTAAAGCAAATTGCTTTGTGGAATGTGTTTTTTTAACCACGTCCATCTGAAAATATTACCTGTTTCTCTAAAAACTGCCCTAAAGTAAAAACTAACGAAACTCTTTTGAACAAAGCGTTAACACCTTTCGAGATCTTTAAATTGCATTTATTGGACTTGACACTTACTTTATCTAAATGTGAAAATATAACTAACGGCTTCTACAAATAGCACCCTTGGTGATATTATTGCAGGTATAGTAGAATATCTTTGTGTTCGTTTATCACTCAATTCGCCGCCAGCGTATAAGATCAAATCGAGCCTCGAGCTTTGGAAACTTAAGGTGAATTCATCATCATCATAAGGTCATCAGTCCTAAGACTGGTTGGACACGTACCTCCACTCTTTCCTATCCTGAGCTAAACTTCGCATTTCCCTAAAACTAGAACAGCAAACATTGCACCTATCCCTATTGCACTTATTGATGACATCCCCCGAGGTAGTCCCCGCCCGGACATCCGAATGCGGGACTAGTTTACGTCCGGAGTGCTTTACCCCAGAGGACGCCATCGTTTAATTTCAGTAGTTAAGGTGAATTAATATTATAGTTTTCTTGAGTACTATAAATTAGGTAGGTATACGTTATTTATAAAAAAAAGAATATGTTGTACATTTAAACAGTGTGCGGGCGCTTTTAACTTTATTATTATCATCACAACATCCCACGATTTTGAAGTATGCATAATGAGCGATCATTATATAGATCTTATATTACAGGATGATCTCATTGCTATTTCTGCAATATTTTGAGCACTCCCGTCAGAAGTTTCCTATTACGTGTTATATTTATGTACGTTGTATAATATATACTGTTCTATAGACATATAAATATATACTTATGTGTAAGTACATCTATGTGTAACTATCAACAACGATTATTCTCAAGAACACAGATGCAACGATTACTCAACGCCAACAAGTATTTTTATAAACTCTTGCTATCTCTTTTGAATAAGTTAATCGGAAAGAAACAAATAAGTAGCATTCAGGATCACGAAGTTTCACCATATCGAAAAAATGATCATGGCGCCAGGTTATAATCGTGGTTTCCACAATTCTACCAGAAATATAATCTATCCTATGGGTTTAATCACTTCAACAAAATATGTAACTGAATTCGAAACTCAACCTATATAATAATAAAATAGCATTTGCATTAGGTACCTTTGATAATTTAGTGATTTAAACTGGTACCTATACAGGTAAGGCAAAAAATTAGCCGAACAGAAATTATACATTTCATTGTCAGCATTTCTTTTTATATCACAGGAGCGAAGATGCATAAATTTTCGCAACCTTGTCTATTTGAAAATGAAACATGTTTCTCTGTAAACTAAACTTTGAACAAAGAGTTACATTCCCTCAATGAGGTATCGGCCTTTGATGATTGCATGTATGTATTTATATGAATGTGCCACTCGCCACTACTATATAGGTACCTACTTTGAAGGGAACCTTCTTAGGATGCACAGCATACCTAGATAAACGCTTAAAAGTCAGACCAGGAATAACCAAACGTATTTACAAAATCTGTACACAAATGCTCGCATTGTTTTAGGGTAAAACTGTAGACCCAAAATTGAAAGCAGTCCACTGCCAGAGGCAACCTTACGCCGATTAATGGAGTAAAAAATAAATCGAAAGGAGAGGCACAATTAATGTCGAGTCGAGTCCTTCAAGGGCTATACATATGGATGGTTATAACGGTAGCAGCATCGGTCACCTGATACTCACCTTCGTGCAAATAGTGATTGCCGATGGTGGGACTGTGTGGTGCGTAGTTTGGGCTAAGCGCGGGCACCCGAGCGTCCGTGGAGCAGCAGCAATGCCGTTGCTGTCCAAGCGCCCCCTGATCATGCCCGCTTGCCCCGCACCCGTCATCCTTCGTTGCTCGACCGCCGCAACTGTCGTCGCGCTGTCTGCCAGCGTTGCTGCCTCTCAAGGCCAACTCGATCCCGCATTTCCTCGCCTCGGGCGGCATCTGTTGCTGTTGTTGCTGGTCACAGGAGGGCTTGTTACTTTTGATTTTGCCGACGACGCTATTACGTAATACATTTTCACATTGCAACCACTTTTGTATTTGGCGACGGTGGATGCCGTATTTACGCGCCGTCGCCCTTTGATTGCCCTTACAATCAGCGTCGTTTCGATACGAATCGAGCACCTGCAGTTTAAAATGTGGTGCAAATATACGTCTCGATCCAATGCCCGTTTTGCCACCACTCTCGGTCCCTTTATTACTACTGGCCGTAATCTGGGGCCTTTTAAGCGCGGGATTAAGCCCATGAGCCATTTTTTACACACAACCCTTTTTTATCACAGATGACACGCACTCGCGCGAAAAATAAAACACAAAAATGAAATATATCAGGACGCGGTAGGATCTCCGTTCGTTGGGTGCTGTGTGTACTGTATTGTAACGTAGATAGGTACGCGTGCGGCCTAGCTAGCCACCGACCATTTTCGTCACGATTCACAGAAATATCCCCCCACCCCGCGGTCGCCTAGAACGTCTTGACATTAGACGATCTGACTTACGTGTGCCTTTTCGTCCTTTTCTCTGTGCAACGTGTCAATCAGCGTGAATACACTGAACCGTATGTCGATGCGTTACCCGACCTGTTGGGAGGCACCAACATCCGTTTACAACATGAAACGGGTTTGTCTTGTTGTCTACGTTGCCAAATCGTTTCAAGATTATAACTTTCTTCTTATATAAACGACCTGATCTATTTTATAGACAAAAAGGTAAAATTATAACACAAATCAACCGTTTTCATACTAGGAATATAAATAAAGACCTTAAAACAGAATAGGACGCGATCGTACCACACCACAGTTTGACGCGAACTGCGGAATGTAAAAGAATCGGCAACGTCGCGCATGGTCACGCCAGACAGACTGTCGCCAAGCGAGTTTAGCGAGCCAGACAAAGCGACGCTGCTTCGCTTTTCATTCACCACGAACAAAATAACGACAAGTTCAGTTTTTATGGACGTGTTGTAAAATGTAAACGCCTTTATGCCAATTCCTGCCTCTGCTTATACTTGGTGTTACATGATGCAAGAAAAATTTAAATTGGCATACCTGCTTAATCCAAACAAAACAAATTCATCCCTAAAAAAATTGAAAATAGAACTCTGAATTAGGTATCAATCTAGATGTCTACTTGCTAATTATTTTGAAAATTTTCTTGTAAATGATACTAAATATAACATGGGTACCTACATGTTAAGTAAACCCAATACTTACAGTTCACAGTTATACCTTATAAACCTATTATCTATTTGTAGTTACGATTTGAGGTATCTACATATTTTGTGTTCTGTTTTTGATATCAAGTACCTACCTATTAAACTTATAGGGAAAAGTCTTTTTAGTTTTTTTTGATTTCTACTTTTTATTAGGTAGGTTTTTTTTGTCTTAGGCATGTAAAAAAGTAAATACCTATGTAACATCGCCATAAAACTGATAATGATTATTGCAATAAATGTGTAATCAGAAGAAAACCTTCATATGGAGCGTTATGAAAATAAAAGTAAATAAGGTATCTATTAAATAGTCACCTATGTATAAAACTGCCCATAAACTTTGTTAGCATCAGTTCGTGGAATTTGGGAATTGGTGCATATGTAAATACTGACAATATACATATATGTATTTATATACAAGTAAGTATATAAGGACCAATCGCATAAAAAATATCCAGTAACATTCCTGGTATTTATGTACGTATTTTATATCTTTGTATACGGAGTGCGTATATATGTTAAGGCATATATTACGGACATTCTTCGGGTTGCGATAACCGGTTATTTTCCTACTGCGTTTCTAGATTAACAACAAAACTAGAGGAATGTTTGCCACTGTAAAATAAAAACAATCTGCCATATACTTTCTAACTAAAATGCATGTGTGTCTCATATTAATAATTACACTCGATTACGCGCTTACAGATGTAAGTATATAGCGTTCACGTGTCTTTAAAGGTAGATTGTATGTAAAAATGTTGTATTCAACAAATTCCTAACAGTATTCGAGGTCATATTGTGTTTATGCTAATTTTAAAAGATGAAAAAGACCGACATTACTTGTTATCTTTAAGGAGTAAAGGCTTGTAATGTTTTATGTAAACATAAACAATCATTACAACGGCTCATAACTGCATATTTTCGATAAATGTACAATTCAAGTTACTCGCAGTTCATGTTTAGTGTTACTAAAAATTATTGACAACTGTTAATCCAAAACTTCATCTGAAATTCATTATAATTGTTGAATAATTCAGTGAGAAGGCTTTCAATGGTATGTGTTCAGTATGCAGTAGTGATATAAGGGTTGCATGTATTCTTTTAGTATGCTACTACATATATTCGTAAGTCCTCAAGGCAGCTCCAAAGATGTCGCTGTCTGTATCGCAGATTTTTAAAATTTGCTAAAATTTTCCTATTTTTGCTAAAGAGGCTGTTGAATTTGCTCACTATTGTAATGTTTTATTATTTACACATACGAATATTCTATTTGTTTAATTTTTAACGATTATTCTGTGTTTAGATTCCATAAAAAATAATTTACAAAACAAATCACATGTACAAAAAAACTAGCAAGCAATTTTCACAAAATTTATCAATTGTTTCCTTTATAATCATTTCCCCTAACTTAACTTTTTTGAAGGGATGAAGTTTGGTATTTTGCTAGTTTGGGTTCAAGGTCAATGCAAATATTTATAATTTAAAAATATTCCGACTGAAGGGCTCCAGTTCTTCACTGTAGGTACATACATATATTGTAAAAATGTATTTACGTAATACCTGAACTGCTTTCTACTCACAAATGATGTTAAAAAAATTAACAAAAACGTTCCATATATTAACATATTTCCTAAATACAAATTCTATTTATTAGTTTCTTCTAGGAAGAGGGTCTTAAATAATCAGCAACACATGGTAAATTAATATTTTTTTATTGTGACATTGCAGTAAGGGCTGTACTAGGTACGATCTATCATTATCAATAGAATACAAATTTTTCTTTATATAAACCGATATCTTCGTTCGAACATTTTCACTTGATTTTTGTAGACACACAAGATATTTCAAAAAAATTAATAACCAATCTCTGATTTAACATTTATACCACCAAAAAGGANCTCTGATTTAACATTTATACCCACCAAAAAGGAAAAAAATTAAAAAATGAAAATAAAAGCTGTACTGCAAGCCCAGAGAAATTATCCTTGTGTAATGTGTTATTTTTTCCGACACCAAGATAGGAATTGCAGTCACACTTCAATGCAGTTGAAGAAAAGAAGACAATGTTTCATGTACACACATGCCGATTATTGTTATTATTTATCGACTCATTTCCAATAATAAATACAATTTGTAAGTTTGTAATAATAAATATGACAGGAAACAAACACCAAAACATATTTTGCGTTTGGTGTAATTAGTATTTACTTATAATAATTATTGCACGAAATGAGTGGGCTACATAAAACGATAATACATAATATAACAAAAATAACACTCATTTGTCTTCAAGTTTTAAAACTAATGAAAAAGGCAAATATATCTCCCTTTGCAATTTTATGCATACTGCTGTTACATAATTGATAAGGTTTTAGATAACAAATTGGGAGAACAAAACCACTTCGGAATTAATTTTTTTTCAAGTTTAGTTTAAGTGGATCTTCCTGATTGACCTATATGTATGTATGTACACAATGTACACTCATTACAAGCAATCTTATAAATACTACATTTTCTTAAAAAGTTGAACTTTGCTTTATTATTTACATTTGGAAAAATGTGGGATAATAAGATTGCTTGTAATGATTGTGATGCATTATACATACACCAACCACGGAGAGTTATTAAAACTAGATTTAAAAAATACATTTACGCAATACAAAAATGTAAAAAAAAAACAAATGCATTTCTGAATATTTCTTAATATTTAAACATTGCGTTTCTGAGAATTCCAAAAAATAAAATGCTAAAATGACTATACAAAATCTTAGAAATTAAAAGGTTACAGAAAAATAATGTTGACCTACTACGTAACCAAATTAATATAAATAACAATAAGTAACAATGTAATATATAGGACAACTCTATATCTTTCAATAATTGCCCAAAAGCCGAAACGCTTGAATAAAGTTTACAAGATTATTCTCAAAGTGGTTTTGCATTCCTTCCACAATTTGTTATATAAAAACAAACGCCTCACAGTGATTGCAAAAAGATGATATTAATTACAAGGTTTTAGATATTGGATATTTAGCTATTTCATAAGAGAAATTACCTTAAATTAAAATACATACTTTGGTGTTTGACGTGTTTTTAAATCTAAACATAATCTGATTAAAATTAGTAAACCCATACTTTGAAATTCTTAAAGTACAAAAAAGTAAGTTAGTTTGCACCAACACCTTCTTATCACATGGGAGCGTCATATTTAAACAACACAATCCTAGAGATTTTGATGCAAACATTTTTTCTTAAGTATTTGTTATTTATGATTTCAAAATAATATGGAACATATGTTCAAAATTCAATCAAAACTTGCTCAATCTACCACTTAAATTTATTAAAGTCAAAATATTACATAACATTTAATTGCTTCCGAAAAATATTTTAACCCCTTGTTTTCAGTAATGATAGTACAAAAGCAAATTTTACTAGTAGTAAATCAAAAATTGTCTGCAACCTCTACAATTCAAAGAACATTCTCGCAAGTGTGTACTTGAAACATAATGGTCGAGCTTGAAAAGAGCTTAAAAAAAAAAAAGGAAAAATAGGAACTTTGAGACATAAAGAAGAGAAGAATAAAATTTAAAATAAACAAAACATTATATTGGGCCGATTTCGAGCTCGACTTGCTGTTATTCTGCTAACATAATAATTACGGATGATCTGAAGACAACAAACATATACTGTAAATATTTAAAACTACTGTACAACTGAGCTGCATCGTCATCTTCTTAGTCACCTGTAGTTGTCGTCGTGTCTTCCGACATCTTCGTCGTCGCAAATAACTACCTATTTTTTTTCCTCATTTCATTATTACTCGATTAACTTTATTCATCATTATTACTATTAAACACTCGCATTCTCCAAGAGGTACCTACGGTGATGGTTCAAAAACGAACCGCGTTAAGATTGCACCGGGAAAGAGGCAGTGCAATGTGTCCGGGAGGGCAGCCTGACCAGCCGCTGCGTTTTTTTTTTGGAAAGGTTCAATTAAGAGGGCGCGTTATTTAAAGTGAGAGACATTAAGTTTCTATTTGGGGAGAATAATGTTGTTGCACTTGCACTGGTGTTGTTCGTTTTTGTTTACTTTTTAATTTTTCTTAAGAAAATTCGGATACAAATCGGTCTCGCACTTTGGCCACGGAAGAGTTCGTGCACATTTGTGTCTTGCTTTTTTTTTTTTTCGAATACTGATTTTACGCGACACGCAGGAGTGAAAGAATCGGCGTGAACCAAATTTTGGGAGATTTTTTAAATTAATAATTACTTTGGTGGATTTTAATAATATACACACTTTCAAAGAATTTGTATATGCCACCTATTCATTTTTAATGATAAGATTTTTCTAATTTACGCTTTGTCTGTTTTAAAAACGCCTTTTCTTAAATTTGTACTTTAGACTATCTTTTGTGGATATGTTGCGAAATACATTATAGTTTTATTAAAAGTGGTAATAAGAGTAAGAAACATAGTTAAAATTGAAGGAATATTGTTTTTTTTTTAATTTTCCATTAAATTCTGAATTTAATAAACTACTTAAAAACTAAAAAAATCTCCCAACAACCCTCTTGGGTCATTACGCCGTTTAATGAAGAACGCGCATATGGGAAACGGCACATCGCGGGAAACGTGTTGGAGAGATTCTCGACGTATTCACCACCGATAATTAAAAAAACGCCACCACAAACTAACTAACGTACCAACAACCACCATCACTGGCTAACGGCAGGCGATTTCTTATCAGAGTCTTGGTTGGGCGGCGCGTTACCAACGCCCGACGAAGGTCCGCCCGGACCATTTCCACCACCGCCGCCGCCCGTCGGACCTCCCCGGTCGTTGGCAGGTCCACCGGCCGCGGCCGCCGCCGCTGCTGCAGCGGCCGCACCCCAGGAGTTCGTACCAGGCATCGGAGATTCGGCCCCGTGAAACGCGGCCGCGTGGTTTTCGTGATCAAGACTGTTAGCCGCGTCGTATTGCGTATTTTCCAGGCGCGTGATGAGACGCTCATCCTCGTCACCGAACTCGCCACCCATCAGGGACGGTTCACCCACTACCATCACGTCCTGGAAACAAAGAAACATGATATGTTAATAAATTTTGTGTTTTACAAAAAATTGACGGATTTACTATTTACCCACCTGCGAAGCTAAGGAAAAATTTGGCCCCGGCGATCTTTTTTTGTTCGGCGCTGGAGGCGCGTTGTTCGCCGCCCCGCCTGAGTTTGATCCTTTTCGTTTCCGTCTCTTATTGGCCGGTCGCTGGGATTCTGAAATAGGAAACCGAAATTTACATCAATGTACCGCACAGCGAGCCTTTAGTGTACTTTTTTGTGTAATCAAATTACATTATTCTGAAATCTGTTCAAAAGATTTATCCTCTTTAGCTTATGCGATCTTCAAAATATATAAAAAAAAAAGAACGGCAACATCTAATTGCGAGAAAAACAAAAAGTATTACATACAGGATGAAGATAAGACAACAAAGCAAAAAAAGGATAAACCTCGCGATTGTAGTAAAAGTGGTACCTCTCTTACCCGGCGGGGCAACCATCCTCTGCCACTTCTGAAATAACGTTGTCTTTAAACAGTCTCGTGGACTTAGGGCGTACGCTTTGTGCCGCGACATTAGCTCTTGCATTGGCTCTAGTATAACACATAACTGCAACAAAAACAATTTCAATTTTTGCAACATTACATTTTCCGCAATTTTTAGTTGATTTAATTTTTCATATACATAATTAAAATTAAGATTATTTACCCTCAGATAATTTAACGTAGAGTTCGTAATGCCCTGTCGAGTGATGTTTTTCGACAATTGATCTAGAACACTAGGGTCCTGTTGGGAGTGCATCCCCACCACGGACCGGGGGATGAGTTCCCGATGGGTTCGCACCGCAAAATGCCACGACTTTATCCTCATAAGGTCGTCGAAGGTGAACTCGAGTATAAGGCGCCCTTCTGTACACACCTTTGTAAATAAAGGCTTTCCGTGGTGCGTAACCATTGTACATTGATCACAGTCAAGCGTAATACTAGTATTATGGAAGGACTCTTTCGGGTGCTTTAAATTATAGTACAATTCCGTAACACCCCCTTCGAATATACTCCTGAAGTACCTTGGAATTAACGTCCTTCCTATCGCTATTAAAAAAAAATACAACGTAATTACACAACACTCTACTGAAGTGAACCACAGTTTGACGCGAACTGCGGAATGTAAAAGAATCGGCAACGTCGCGCGTGGTCACGCCAGACAGACTGTCGCCAAGCGAGTTTAGCGAGCCAGACAAAGCGACGCTGCTTCGCTTTTCATTCACCACGAACAAAATAACGACAAGTNCTTCTGTACACACCTTTGTAAATAAAGGCTTTCCGTGGTGCGTAACCATTGTACATTGATCACAGTCAAGCGTAATACTAGTATTATGGAAGGACTCTTTCGGGTGCTTTAAATTATAGTACAATTCCGTAACACCCCCTTCGAATATACTCCTGAAGTACCTTGGAATTAACGTCCTTCCTATCGCTATTAAAAAAAAATACAACGTAATTACACAACACTCTACTGAAGTGAACTTCTTGAAACACATAAACATATCGGGATAGGGATTAAGGAATTGGTTTAATGGTATAACTTGTACACTATGAATTTAAATTTTACACCGAAGGTGCCTGTAACGAACGTTGCATTGAAGCGCGCTCACGGCTCAAGCGATCCCCACTACGAACTCGACCACGTGACCGAGTAGAGGGGGGACATCCGTTGCATGATTTCGTTACGTAGCAACTCGCATGAAACAAACTTACCCTACCGTGCGTAAAGAAGTTTCACTTCAAAAAAATATTTTAGTTTACTTTCACTACTCTAGCTCTTATCTTCATAAATTTACAACAAATAACGACTGATGTACTCGAACGTTGAATAATGTATTGATGTTAAAAGCAATACCAAAAAAAGAAATGTAAAAAGTTTTTGGACCAACCTCGTACATAACTTTTTTTTAAATATTCATAATGGGATATTAAAATCTGTTTGTTTATAACAAAATTTATGGGAAATAATGACAAATTGCTATCTCCGATTAAGGTAATTTTTCATTTGACCACACGACACTTTATTCAAACACTTTTTATGGCTTGTGAGTTTGTCAAGCCTGTCAAATAAACTAAGCGGAGCCTTATTACCGCGATATTTAATTTTAATCTTTGTTCGAATAGGTAACGTAAAAGAGCATGCGACACCGCAAAACTTAATTGATTTCAGTAACGAATTTCTCAACATTAAAAATGTATGTAAGTACACAAGGTAATGAACAACCAATACTACTTATTCATTCTACTGAACGAAAAAGCAACACTCACGAGGTGATGTATTTCGTCAAAGTAAATGCATGGCAACGACAACAATTACTCCGTGAGTGTTGTCTTTTCCTTATGGTTCTAAGTTTAACCGACAAACTAGGAAGGTATCCTACTGAATCAATCGGAGCGCCGCATTTCAACTATGGTGGTAAGATATATGATGGGATTAAAACATGCGATCTTTTACATGGGGAAGGGGGGGTTCAAAGTTGACGAATTTTTGATAATGTAAAATGACGGATAGTACCTGATAAGAAAACTTACTGTATCGTTTTGGCCCGTCTTCTAAACAAAAAGCTAACGTTAATGATGCGTCGTCCTCAAAAAATTCCGTTGCAAATGCGTCCCACCATAAATTATCACTTTCCTGCAAAAAACGCGTAATAGAATCATTATTCTTCACAGTTAACACAGAAGTTGAAAGTATTTTTTTCTTTGAATTGACATTTACTTACTTCTGTCCTTTGCTGAAGTCTTTTGTTTAATTCATAAACTCGATAATCAGGTTGACCAAAGTACGGCGTGTGGCGCCTGGGTACTGGTAGAGACCTGGAAAGAAAAGAATGCATTTTATAATGCAAAAACAAAAATCAAAAAGTACCTTCAAAAATACATTTGCAATTTATTGATTTACTTTTTCAAAACGATATCGACAGAAAATTATTGCCTATGCTATTTATGTGAACTACAAATCAAAGTATGTTTCTTTTCTTTAAACTTAATCTGTATAGCCTGATTGGAAATCGTCCCATAATACCTAAAAATACGCATTGCTACAAGCAAAATTAAATTGCAATAAACATTATTATTTAAAACAGCATTTCTTACCCTGCCTTTAATTTTTTATTAATTATTTTATGTCGTTTAAGTGAAAAAATCTGTGACCTCGCAACTTAATAGTTCTTGTTATAAAATAAAATATGCGAACGTTTTAAAATAGAAAATAAATTACCTAAAAATTCAAAAGTATTTTTTAATTGCTTCTGAACTTCATAACTTCCTAGAACTTAAGTTATACCTATGTATAAAAAAGTAAACAAAAACTACTGTTCGAATTCAGAATTTTCCAGAAAGAAAAACGTTAAAACGTTTAACTTTCACATGCAAAATACATTCTAACTACCTTCGCCCATGAACGTTTTTCATCGATCTACGAAACAAAATTGGCCAGTACGAAAAGCCCTTATATTTTAATGGGATAATATACCCCCTATAGCCACCCTGAAGGCCAATTTTAAGTATTAGTGAAAATCATTTTAAAATCTGATGAGTGGTTTCGGAGATTTCCTCCTACATTCAAACTTAAACTCTATTTCTTTATATTAGTATTAGGTCGGAAAATTAACAGAAATGAATATTTATTAAACGGTCGCAAAAAAGTGTGTAAAAATAGATATGTTAAATTCATCAAACAAAAATAATGTATATGTAGTTAAATCCTGCAATTACAATGTTCATCTATCTATAAAAGTTATTTATTAAATCACCTCTGTAGCTTAAAATGAAATCGGGAATGTACAGTAATAATACCCACATTTCTTAAAGTAAAATGCATCGATATAATCATTTAGTTTATTTTACAATCGTTTAATTTGTGATTGGTCTCTTTGACTGTAAAAACGATATTCACAATGGGTTGTAAAAACTAACAATGGACAAAATATAAAAATTAAAATCAGGGTAACGTAACTCCACACTGCTTTCAGAAAGGATGGAAAAAAATACTTTTCAGTTGTCATGGGCTATGCGAAAAACAAAACGATATTTAAATTAAAATACATATTTTTTTTAAATAATAGTTGATTTAATTTTCACTCTTTTTGCTTACATTAATATTTTGAATGCTAATTTCTGAAAATAATTATAGATCAGTATGGTTTATTATTGTCAAAGACGCATTCGTATAGCTAGTTCAAAATCGCATGGGCTTTCACATTTGTAAGAGGGAGGCCATATTGTACATTACGAAAACGTTAACTTGGATGTTAACCATGTAAATACTGTGTACAACTAAGAAACTAGCTCCAGAAAAATTGTAAACACTAACAACTAATGCTTTTAAGTAGTAGAAATGAACGGCAGTAGTTTTGTTACTGTACAACTCAAGGCCAAGGTTCATGATATTCTGAACTACCTCTACCTAATGCTGTAAGAGTTCTTTTTTTTGTACAGATCGGAAGCAAATGTCTGTAATAAACTTACAAACGTTCTTAAATTAACAGTAAAGAGGAAGAAAATTGGGCTGAAAGGGATATTGAAGTTTCGCAAAAGGGGAATAAATTGTCGTCAGTGACGGTGTCACGTGTGTGTCGTTCAACAAGTGATTCAGTTCGCTCGTGCGTGAAAAACATAATAGGGGATGTAGATCGGATCTTATCTTCACTGTAAACTTATGTCGTTAACAAGACTTAGCCGACAGATTGATTGCCTCTTCGAATTTAAGTCGTTATACATAGTATACAGGGCGTAACGCGACAATTGTAACTGACTCAAGATAAATATTATAGACTACCAAAAGTCGTATACTATTACGACGATACGAAATTCTTAGTAGTTATTAAATATCAAAAAAATATATACAATGCCATTAAAATTTTTCACTTCAATATAATCTATACATTATATTGAAATAGTTAATCGAATTATACTCGTAGCTAATAAAATATAAAATAGAAAAGTTATCAGAAAAAGTAATCCTTCATAATGTCAGTAATTTTTTACTAATTAACATATTTTACTGAAAGGATTATTGATTATTATACTGATCTTGAAAAAGTACGTGACAGAACTTTTAACTAGCTCCATTTCACAACAATTATATGAATTGTTTTTAATTATCTATAAGCGAATGAAAATCAAAAATGATTCCCGGTTAGTTTCAAAATTCAAAATTGAAACAAAAATTTTAGATTACAAAATTCTCGAAATTTCCGAACAGAAGATTGTAATGTGGTGTCTATCAAATACATACTTTGTGAACACTTGATTAGTTCACACAATCAATATTTGCTAGATTATACTTATCGTATAGTACAAACATAGTATTTGTATTTTTATCTGATTTTCATTCTGCCACTTAAAGTTAGCTTCCATGTTTACATTCTGTGTAAGGCAGGTGTTATGGCAAAAACAAAATCAAACTAGCGTATAATAGGTACCTATAAAAGACATCATAAGCCTCTAAAACTAAAAAACAAAAGCAGGTAATTTTTTTAATTTATAAAAAATTTTCACTTTTGATTCTTCAGCGTCCAAGTCAGATATTACGTTTTTCGTATATATTCATATTCAAAAATTAAATAAAGTAAAACATGCATATTTCATATTTATTTAGAATTATTAATTATTAAAAAATACAAGGTATGATCGAGTAAAACTATTTTCATTAATAATCTAGAAATGTCGACTTAAAAAAAATTAGGATGATTACCTAAAGTAAGGGTTTCCAAATGGGGGAAAATATAGGGGGTCATTTCCGGCCCTGGGCGGAACAACAGGACACATCGAGTGCGGACCCATGTGGGGCGGATGGTGGTGGGAGTCCGAGCCTCCCCCCAGGTGTCTTGATCCACTACAAGTCGTAATGCTCGGAGAACATACGCGCACAGGCATAGATTATTGTTTAACTTTGTTATTGTTTACGCGTTACTACGTCGTCTTTTTTTCTTTCCTTTTCTACCTTTTAACCAAACGCGTTTCGTGACGACCCCAAGCGTCGCCGGTTGTCACGGACGTCGGTGATGGCGTCACTGTTACCGTAAATATCGTAATAGACAATGACATTTTCTTATGAAAAATGATTCGAAATGTATTCTGATTTTGCTTAAGAGTTTACACTGTACTATTGTATTATTAACTCAACTTTTGTCATCCTGCGTTTCGTGTACCTATAATAGGTACATGGCCAATTTATATTTAAAAGATAAATAATTCATGCACTATAGCACTGACAACACCCTGTATACACATATAAAATTTCTTGATCTACTAACTCGGTTGACCACCGTCAGAAATCAGAAACACGTCTTTGGCTAAAAAACATCTATACAAGTTTCTGCACTTAAAATGTTTATGAAAGAATTGATACCATAAAGAACATTTACGCAAAATTAAATGAGTGTCATTGATAAAAATTTTAAAAACTAGGTAAAAATACAAAACAAAGTAATTTAAACAATTAGGTAGGTACAATCGCGATAAAAAGTTTTAAAACTTGAATAAAAGTAAGGAAATTCTTTGAAAAGTAATAATTACGTACAGTTTTAACTGTTTAATTGAAAAAGATACTTTACTATGTGTTGTTAATATTCAAATTTTCCACGCACTTTTTCCTCCTATAAATAAAACGTACTGTCGTTTGTCACAATGTGATGTTTATCCAATAATTCCGGTATTATCCAATACACCGCAAACTCGAAACGTGCATTTGTACCATTTATATATTTTCAAAATGGTATGGTTGTGATTTACGGCGCACGTGAATTACACGACGAAGTCGCAACTTTTTAAATTAAAATACGGTATCGTATTAACATGTTCGCGTTTACGTCTACGCCGTGCGACTGTGGCCGCGTATGCCGCGACAAATCGCGGCGGCTTTACCACGGCCACATCTCGGCACACGCTCCCGACGGCCAATAGATGATCGGGAATCGGCTCCGCGGCGGCGCCGCAATGTGCGTAGTATGCCCGGTCCCGCAGGAGACCTGGCAGCTGCGCGTGCGCGCGCGTGTGATAACGCGCCTCTGCGCGGCCACCAACAACGCGAGGGGAAAAAGCGGCAAGCCACGTGCGGCAGTGTTTTATTATTGTCGCGCGCGCGTTAAAGCTTGCGGGTGCACCAACGCTGCGAATTTAATACGGAAACTATGGACACATGTATGTATATGCCTGGGAGAGTTCGGTGCGTTCCAGGAAAAACTAAAAATTGTGACAAGGGCATTGGCAACAAGAATCGACACATCCGGAACCAGATTTTTCGAATCGCTCTTATAATATGCTGTATTCCTATTTACGTTTTGTTACAAACATTTTTATTTACAATACCCTCACTTCGCATAGGAAAATATAGTTATCATTTGAGAACCTTTTCGAACCTTCTTAAAAATTCCAAAAAAAAAGTTTTCAAACCCTGTAGATAAAGGCCATTCAGGAAAAAATCTGTGATATTCTGTAATGTCGTGACCAGACGTCGGAACTTAATTAACACCTTTTTAGTGATTGTACGTATACGGAGTCCTTTGGGGTGATAGTTTTTTAACCTCCATATCTTTGATACCTAACCCTCGACAAAACCAAAACCTTCTTGACGGTGGAGGAAAGCTATATACCACATATGCCTCATAAGGCTGTGGGATACGGATAAACAACATTTACGAAAACTTAGTTGTCATTTGGAACATTCCGGAACCTTCTACAAAATTCTAAATCATTCTCGAACTCTGTAAAAATGTAGGGCATTCAGGAAAAATCTGTGACCTTTACTGACTTTCTATGTGAAGTCCCAAAGGATGATATACATATGTATGAATATTGATACTGATTTCAAG